CCAGCCTAACGGCCCCCTGCCAGCTGAACGGCCCCCTCCTCAGCCACACAGCTGCCTAGCGCCCACCTCCCTCCTGCTGCCCAGTGGCCCCTTCCTTAGGCCAACAGTTGCCCAACGGCCACCCTCTCAGCCTAACACCCCCCCCCACAGCCCAGTGGCCCCTTCAGCCAAATGGTAGCCCAAAGGCCACCGCTTCTCAACCCAACAGCCTCTTCCTCAGCCACCCGATGGCCCCCTCCTCAGCCCAACGGCCACCCAATGCCCGTTCTCCCCACTAAACGGCCACCTCTTGAGCCCAAGGGTCCCCCTCCTCAGCCCCACAGCGCCCTTACCTGCCCCTCTCAGGGGGTTCAGCCATGGGCCAAGGGTCCTCGTTTCACCTGCCCACAGGGTCTGGTCCCTCAGGATGAAGAAAAGGGTGTTTCATAGAGCCCTGGGAAGGAGAAAGCCTGGTAGCAGGAGCCACACTGGGCCTCCAGGAGGGCTGTAGCCCCATGGTGGTAAGAAGTCCATGCTCCCCTCCCAGCTGGGGGACCCACAGCTTTTTGGGTGGCACAGCATCACCTTGCCCCATGGTCCATCCACCTGTGCACTTCCTCACAGAAGAGCTGGTCATTAAGACAGGCTGGCTGGTCAAACACAGCTGTCTAGGTGACCACATGTGTGAAAGTGCTAGTTAACACGGGTGCCAAAAACTGACCGCAAGTAGGGATCAGACAACTCAATTCATCCATAACTACCCATAAGTGAAAGCTCTGGAAGGCTGGGGGGGTTGCAGCAGCAGGCAGATGCTTCTGCACACTGTGATCAACACCAGTAGAAAAGAACTACTGAAGTAATAAAGTGTCACTAAATAGTTTTAGGCAAGTTAAAGTTCAAGCTTAATAGATACACTTCAGTCTTGAGCACATTTTGCAAGGGTCTCTTTTGCCTGTGGGTTTTGGCTCCATGCGTGGTCAGAGCAGCACGAATCATCATGTCCACTTCACAAAAGAAACCAACAGTTGTTATCAGACCAGTATAAAAGCCAGTGGGAAAGAAAGGTGACTTGGTATGATAGATTGTCTACACCAACTCTGCTTTGATTTGCAGATGAGTAGCATAAGAGAGAAGTATCTTTAAACCAGATAATTTGCTGTGACTGGTTCAGGAGGCACCCAGGACTGGAACAGCATTAATGTCATCTGGATGCACTACTTTCACTTACCACTTAATCACTCGATTAACAATTCAGGCAAAAAGCCACACACACTTCATGCAAATATCTAGCTATCCATTAAGCATAATAAGTGAAATGAAATTACCATGAGGATATTTCTAAATCGGCTAATAATTGTTGTGTTTTTACAAGGCGGTAACATTGGTTAGCTGATGAGGGGTAGACATCAATGCCTATTTGTTGCGTGCAGTTAGTATATGCCCTGGAGAAAAACTTTATTCATCCATACTGCCATCAGTTAAAAGCAGCAACGAGCCCAACCCATTAGCACAGTCTCTCCTTTCCTTACATTCGTTCTCTGGCTCATAGCACCGATTGTGTCTTAGGGCTGTTGTCTGCAGAACAGCCCAAATTTCACACATTATTCTCTTTTTACAGAGATGCTACTCGCACAGTGCATGGATAAGGAGATGAGCAGTTTTGAATAATTTTTAAGAACATAATAAATGACTATTTCAAAAGGAGAAATAAACACATCAGGGCCTTTTTTATGTGGATCTGTGACAAACAGAACAATGACCCAACCAAATTTCCATTTGGACCCAAATGACTATATTGAGGTGTAAATATAGGATTTTGTGGGCATAGCAAAAGAGACAGCATTTTGACAAACACAAGTGTGCTTGCCTTTGTATCATTATGTTTGTGTTAAAGACAGAAAGAACAAGCCAGATACCTCGTAACCAGTAACCAGTGCTGGGTTGTGCAGTACAGGAAAGTCAGAATTCAATGGGCATTTGCCAAGTCTCACACAAAATAGCTGAAAAGACCCAGCATCGTTCTTTCCTATTTCACTACACACAGTATATGTAAATTCATGACAAATGCAATATTACTTATTTAATAGCCTTGTGAGCTATGGGTGTTTCACAAGGAGAAAATAAATTTTAAATTAGACTTAATGTGTTTAAAATCAACTTTATCAGATCTGGATACACCAGTCAGATCCGGAAACACAAATACTACGTGCTTTAAGCAATAATGCTAAAGCCACAGACAGACTTACGTTTACTGAAATAAACCCATAAAAACCCCCTAGAATTTATTTGCAGTTCCTTGGATATAACATTATTGCAGTATTTTTCCACTTATGATGTTTCTCTTTGAGGATAGTTACAATATCTTTTTCTTCCTGTGCCTTAAATTTAGAACTACATATGCTGCTTTTTTTTTTTTCTTTTGATCTGGGAATCTATATGGACATATGAACTTAAATTAATATTGTACTCAGCACAAAAGGCCATCTAAGTTATGGCAGATATAGAAATGTTGATTTTAAATGCCTAGTTCTTATTTGAACAGTATTTTAACCACAAATAAAAGCTTCATATAAATTCAGGGGGATTTTTACTTGGCTACGTTTTTGCTCTGCTTTATATTTGATAACTGAACACTCTCCCAATCCATGATCCCCCAACACAAGACACAATCACAGGGAGTAATTATTTGGAAAGTTTCAGAGGAAAGAAAGTGGGTTTTAAACTTTTCAGTATGAAGAGAACATCATATAATTCATCTGATAACATGCCATTCCATCAATCAGTTATTTATAAATACGGAGCCAAGTTTACATGCATTTACATCTGGCCTTGCTGAGATAGTTTTAGAAAAAAAATCAATATTACGATTTTTTCTTAGTAAGCTTCACTTGTGCCTGTAATTTTGTACATCTGTGTTAACATAAATATTTCAGGAAGCACATTGCAGGCACACGGCACACTCTTTTCATAGTTCATTAGAACCAACAGAAGAAACCACCATTTGTTCATAAATATTAAGCAAAGAGATTTAGGTGAAATCCAGCAACTTCCTTACTCATCACAAAGTATTTGCCAGGATCTAGGTTCATGCAATGTGGCTGCCATGAAAACTGCAGGGATAGTTTTTGCATGCTAACATGGTAAACCCATCGTGCTAAACTATGCAAAAACTGTATGGTCCATGCAAAACCCGGCAGGGACAGTTTTAGATCTTAACAGTAGCAAAGTCTTACAAGATGTACAGAATCTCCAATCTGCTAAGCCACATACTGTTACTTGCTTAAGAAAGAAAAAAAAAAACTACAGTATATCTCTCCAGAAATAGACTACTAACCTAAAGTTAAATTCTTAGTTGAAATCAGATATGCATTGGGCTAAAAAGCAGAGGTTAAAACATAAGACCAAACCTTGCTTATTCACTTCTCTTACCTTGAGCAGCACATTGTCTTGCTCTTTAAGGGTCTCCCACTGGAAGAAAGCAGCAAAACGAGATGACCTAATAGAAGTGAAGTTAGTGAAATTTGAAAATTGGCAGTTTGGTCTTGATCACCAATTCTTAGCAATCCATGCAGTGACACTTTACCTTCAAGTTGCCAAGGAGCTCTTATAATTTGTATGTCATGCATAAGGAAATTAGATGGTGAATTCCTATGTAACAGTGAGAAAGTTCTTGATCTCACGGAGTTTATAACCTGTTGGGTTAAAAGTAGTCGGTCAAATGTCAAGTCAAACCTTATTTCACTATAAAATGAATCTGTGAACTGCAAAATAGTGTGATTTACTTACCAGTATATGAATTAAGAAACTGATACAATTTCTTACCTATAGATATTTCCTAGACCCACATTATTACATTATAGATATCGGTGGAAGGAAATTACTATGGAAATGATTCAGTGACTTCAGAGAGTGAGATATAGTTTTATTTTTTCAAATAGAAAATTGCTCACATCTAGTTCATTTGGACATAGTCAATACATTCCAGCACATCACATTATACACAAAAATGGCAGTGCAAAGGACTTAAAAATGAACAAATCTGTTATAAGTTAGTGAGTCAATTCACAGAAAAGACTGAGCAGCAAGAAGACTCATAGCAAACCAATGTTTAAATACATTTCTAATACAAGCCAAACATATTAAATTGACCTGTGAATAGTTCACATAGCTCCTCTGTTTTTCCTCCTCATCATCTACTCTCATGATATATGAAGACCTGCTTTAAATGACTGAAGAGTTTTTTAATTTTCTAAATCACTTGCACAGTTCATTTTTGGATCTAATCTTGTGAGATACTTAATATCAGGCAGGGTAACAGTAGCCTGACAGGGTTTTCCACCCAAGAGCAGACACACAGTTTTGGGTGGAGCATGTGTTATGACCACATGGCATCCAGAAAAGTATCTTTTTAACAAAGAATATTTTTGAGGTCCATAAAATGCTGATGGTTCTCAGCTTCTGTTGACTATAATACTCTCAAGAACTCAACTCTTTGGAGCTAAAAGGAAAGCACCCTTTCACATTTGGTTTTATAGCAAACAGGTATCTGCTGTAAACTGAAATCTCAGCCCTTATACACAATTTGGAGCAACCTGAACCTCACCAATTGCAGTGTGTGCATCTCCTCTGGGCAAACAGACTGGACTTTGGCAGAGGAGAGCAATATCCTCCTCAGGACTAGGGGCATCATGTGTCCCTGAGGCTGCTCTTCCTCTTTGTATAGCAGCAACACTAAGACTTTTTTATTATAGAAGTGGGGTGCAAAAAACAATCCTTGCCTGATATAACTGGAGGTTTCTGCTGAATTCTCCACCTGTGTGCAAAGTACTAAGAAGTGTGCTTTAAAACTTTTTAAAACTACCTTGAAAGCATTATGACTCTGCGTTTTCAACAGAAACCTATGGTAGCTGTTCTAGACAGTCTTGTTCTACAGGATTACATGAGGCCTCTGGGAACAGTGGTAAAATCCAGACATTTTCTCCACAAAACTGGGAGTACCAGCAGATCTCAACAGACGAAATGAAAATATTTATTGTTGCTCTCCCTGCTTCTACTTTGTGTAAATCTTAAGTAACAGAGTTAGTTAAAAAACAAACAAACAAACAAAAAACCCAATCACTGCAATCTATCTCACTAAAAATGTGATCTGAAGATCAGGTATGCTTAACCTATGAATGATAGGGAGAAAAAAAAGTCTGATGGTAATTTTGGAACACATTCAAGGATTCTGTTACATCTTTCCATTGCGATGAATGACAAATTATATTGTTAAAGCCCTACATGTTATGTTTTAAGGGTAAACCCTGAAGTTATGGTAACTGAAAACATTGTTTAAAAATCTTAACTCACATTTTATTACTAATTATTTACCAAATCGACAAAGCTATCTACTCTGCTATGCACAGCTTTACCTATAAATAGCTGTTAGAAACACATACTTACCAGTCAAAATCAGAGACAACATCCAACGTGTAAAATGTAACCAGACACTCTTATCCACTTTAAACAGTCTAATAAATAAATATAAATACATAAATATAGCAGAACCATAGTATATTCCTTGCTCAATAGAGGTATGTTATTTCTCCATGGTCAATAGCAAATCTTTTTTTTTTTTTTTAATCTTTTGAAAGGGTATTTTAAATTTCTCACAATACAGCAAAAACTTAAGATCATTCATGAATTACTGTGACAGGACCCAGTGTATCTGCTAACCTACAAATCCTTACCAAGAGGTTTTGTAGCTTAAAGCTTTTGTAACAGGAATGCTTCTAGCTTTGGCTGTACCATAGGCAACTGCAGCAAGTTAGCACCATTCATGAAATAATGAGAACATCAAATCTTCTCAGAGCATGAGGTAAAATGACATTCAAAAAGAAACAGTTTTTCAGTCTCTCCTTGCTTTTTCCAGTTTGAAAATGTAGTGCATCATACATACAGTTGGGAATACTACCAATCTTAAACTGCAGAAATATCTCAGATTTAAGAAAGTACTTTAATTACACTGAATACTGAGAATTTCTGCACATCAGCTTTGCCAGTATCTACAAATGCATGTACAAAAAAAGATAGGAGATGGTTCTTTAAGCAAAAAAGTATGCATATATATTCTTGAGCAGCAAGATAAATGTAGTTTAAATATAGCCACAACATTTTTCTATCAAATATTGACATTACAAATGTAACATTTTTTGCAAGGCTTCTGAGGAATTATTCTCAGGGAGATCTTTAACTGCTACACCAACTCATCACATTTTATGATACTATTTGTGATGTATTTGGATCAAGCAATTATAAAACAGCTAGTCTGGATTACTATTTTTAAATTATCGTTTAGCATATTTTAGAGAAGAGCTTAATCTGTGAAATACAAAAGCTATTTTGAGCATGCAATAGTCTTAAGGGTAGTCACCCCTTTGGTAATCCCTTACCATTTTACAAAATGTAGGGATTTAATATTGCTTTAACTTCTTGTTCAAAAATATACAGTACATTAAAACTTATAAATACCTGGAGAATTAATTTCTTACATTGCATTTACAGTAGTTTTAATGAGTGCTTATAAGTAGCTATTAGTCAAATGACCCTTCCTCCACCAGAAATAAAATGTAACCTTATTTTTAGATGAGATGCTTGCTTTCTGACCTTTAAATAGTTCAACATGGGTTGGCTGTGCCAAAATATTAATACAACCACATACAGATTCAGACAAACAGATGGAAGCAATACCATCTCAAAAATACTAAATGATGTCATCATGTTTCTCAGGAACTCTATTCTCAGCATCAAAACAAAATTCCAAGAAAACAATATCACTTGGATTTCCCTTTCACAGACCCTGATACCCATCAGACAGGTAAATTCAGTCCTATTCTGTATTTTGATGATCCTTTAGGCTGGTAGTGAAATTACTCACTCCAGTATGAGCAAAAGATCTGCTCAACAGCTTTTGATAACAAAACAACGTGTTTCCCCAGTAAACTGATAATAAATTTGAATTCCTTCATTTTTCAGAAGACTGTGTCTCCATGATTACAAATATTGCTGAAACCATGTTTACTTGCATGTGGCTGTTTAAATCCTGCTCAGTTGATAACCTCTAGATAACATAATGCTTTCAAAGTGCTGGTCTTCTGCTTTTTCTTTCACTCTCTGCTCCTCTAAGGTAGACACAAGTTTGTCTCTTTCTTCAACCACTTTCATCATCTCAGCAAAAATTTCATCCTCCTCATTCAGATCCATCTCATCTTTAAGGCTGTCTAAAAGATCACAAAACAAGAAGTTAAAATCCAGATCACTCTGTTATCACACTTTGCATTGTAACTGTTGGTATACACGTTGATGTAATATTATAGTCAATGGCAAATGAAGTCAATAGCAGTTAATATTTTTCATGTTACAGTTCAGGGAAAATTTCTCCTGCATTTGGGCCATTTAAGATTGACCACTAAGGTTCCTAAAATCTAGAGTAGATCTTTTAGCAAAATTTAGATTGGAAGGGGTAGGAAAAACTCTGCTTGTTTATAAGAAACATTTCAGCTGGAGTTTAAATTCAGTTTATACAAGGTAAAAAGCCCAGCTGTGAAATGTAGTACCTGTAAGAAAAGGGAAAGAGTTTTACAGAAAAAAGTATTGAAAACTAGCATCACTTACAGTCCAACAATAGGGTATTTTGGAGTATCCAGCACCATGTAACCCCCATCTCCCTGCATTCCTCCTTCCCACGCTCTTTTTTCTAATACCAAATGAAAGGACACGCCCGAACTGTAATTCCAAGTACCTGAAAGCACTTCCAAAATACTGCAGTAACCAATATTGCTACAGCTACCATAAAAGCAGATAACCTCTTTTGTGTTTGGGTGGTTGAAGACATTACTTTCTGCTGCTGCCCATCATCACATTAGCTGGATGTTGCTGCCTGCACAGCACAATTAGTGGAATTACACATGCGAGTGCTTCTGACCCAGTTCAGTGTCAAACTGGGCAGGTTAGCTTAGCTGTCTTCACTAGAAGTCAGATGAGAAGATCTCACAAGTTGCATTTTGCTGGCTGAGCTGCACTTGCAGAAGAGAAGAGAAGGAAGAGCCTCAGCCACTCTGGTCCTTGTTGAAGCCAGCAAGGGCTCCTATGGGTATGGCCCATCACTGTGAGCTGAAGCATACTCCCTCCTTTGACTTACTGTCAATGGCCATTTTCTCTCTCAGCTTCTGTTCCAGCCTGCTTTGGTGATCCTCCAATTCTAGCTCTTGGGCTCTAGGTACAATAAGAAGTACGTTAAAGAATAAGTTTTTAAAAATAAAGATATATACATTAATATTCCTTCAACCAAGAGCTTCTGTGTTCTGTTTATCCAGTATTTTCTCCTCGTTGGCAGTCAAGGCTAAAAGCCTTGCCTGTGCCTACGTTGCAACATTAATCCCAGAAGTACCACCACCACCTTTTTGCATGACGTATCACATTAAGCCCCTCATACATTGCGACCCTTAAGTCTTTAACCAGCTGTGCTTTGCTGGTGGCACCCACAACGTGGTTCTGGATAGGACTGAATGCTCCCATACGTGAAGGGCCCGCCAGGCCCTTGTCCCAGGAGCAGATCCTGAGGCAAGGGAATTAACACACGTGAACGCATCCGGACGACAATATTTTGCATCCTGCAGCAATAACAGCAGCCTGCTTTTGCTTTTCAAACTGTTTTGCAGACAGTGTCAGCAGAAAGGATTGCTACCACAACACCCAAGGACAATTGAAGTGGAAAGAAAAAGTTTGGCCCCTGGCAGCATCATCACAGCTGGGGAGAAATTGGGGTGCAGCTGGAGCTAGTGGCTGGGCTGCAGGTCCGCAGACAGCACCAGGGGCTGGCTGAGTGATATGGAAATGATAAATGGCAATGAGCAGCCTGCACTGGCGTGAAATCCAGGGGAGAGTAATGACTGCTGCAGCTCTCATCGCCTTCCCACATTGCCCAGAAATAGTAAAGAAAATAGCTGAGAGTCATCTCCGCCTATCTGTTGAGTGCTTTTCCAAGGAGGTGAGGTGAGGGAGCTACAGCCAATACTATTTCCATCAACCACAGTCAGTGGCATCTGAGACAGTTTTTATTTGATTTGTGTATCTGCTTGTTTCATCGCTACAGTGAATTCCTAGATCTTTTCTCCTATGTCCAATAAAAACTGAGATAAACTTTTCAGACTGTTTTTCTTCCACAGGAGAAAGCGCCCCACTGTTCATTAGACCCACATCATATAAAGGCAGAGCATCCATATGCTATACTGGTTTAGAGTATCATACACGATTGAAATAATTGAACCACTATGAGAGGGAAGGATGAGGAGGGCTTGACTGAAAATCTGTGTTCAAAGCAGATTGTAGCTACTCTGGGTACGTTTATTCCATGATGGTCCCAAACAGCAGCACGCAGCAAGGTGTTCAGGTGAAACATAAGCCCACTTTTCCCCTCCCCATCTTTAGTACCAATGCTTGTCCTTACTTACATTATCAGGAGCTCAGACTCATACCGCATTAATTTATTCTTCTCCAGGACCAGCTCAAACCATTCGTGCAGCATCTGGGTTTCATCCTTTGTGCCTGAATCTGTTTAAAATAGGAGAGTTAAGTGTGCATTACCAGCTTTCCTACCAATGCTCTTAAAGCTTGAGTTCTCTTTAAGTAGCCCTCATTTGTACACCTAGGTGAGTCCAAATGTAGGGTTTTTTGCTGTATGTAGCTGACATCAGTAATGCCTGGGTATAACAGCTGTAACATTCTTGTCCACATTTGGTTGAATGTTGTAGTTTATTACAGTTTAAAGGTGCATTAAAACCACTTTTGATTTAGAATTTAAGTTTTTTCTTTCAAATAATCATATGGTCTTTCTTTTTTTTAATGGGCACTTTTTCTTTCTTTTAGTTCTGCCTTTGATAACATAGTTTCTCTGCTGATACTGGACTCTGGCAGTTGAACTAGATGTATAAATGGGTATCCCATTAGCACAATCGGACTTCAGGATGTACATCCTGGTGAGTACCAACTTAGTCCCTGCTTCCAGTGGGCATCAGATGCACAATCGAGTCCTCTACAAATTTCCATTCATTTGCCAACTGGCCTCTAAATCTGCATTTGGTTTGAATAACAGGAAAGGCCATGGGACAGGACAAATCTGCTATTACTGGGTGGTTTTGTAACACTTTGGCTAGGGCATCACTGATAGGCACTATTCAGGCACGAAACACAAGATGGTCTCTCTCCCAAAGAACACACAGCTTGACTCTACCTTGCTGAGGAGGAGGAGGAGGAGAGCTTTCTCTTTCACCAGGTGAAGGCCTTTACTGCTCCTAAAAAGCCGTCTGTACAAAAATCTTTGGCAATGAAGAATGCCTGGGTGTTTTCAAGTGGCAAGCCAGAACACACACATATTTCTTTTCCTTGCTGTCCTTTTTAACACACTCATCACTTCTCACAAAACAAAACCAGCCCACCACCTCTTGTTGCAGAATTACAGCAGAAGCAATGGCCCTGCAACACACTTCTCACAATGTCCGCTCTGCCCATCCGCCCTCTCTTGCCACAAAAAAGTAATCATTTGTAGGAAGCAAATATCTTAACACTACTCCAGGTTGAGGCAACAATTTAGGTGACAGGCTGGCCCCTTCAGAAGCATAAAACCAACAGCTTTTGCCTTAGCACATGGTAGTTGCCCACCCCACCACGCTGCTGCCATGTGTTGGAGGCAGCCAGATGTGGGACAAAGCAAAAAGAGGTGCCGTGGTCAGGCAGGGGAACGTAGCACTCTTCTCAGTCCTTGCATCACGCTGCTAGATAGCCAAGCATAACACTCCCATAAACCAGCCTGGCTGCTTTCTGTGGATGAAGACTTATGTGATTTCTCCTGCTTTAGGAGGACTGCACCTTCATTTCAGATGACTGACTGCGCTGAAGTCTAAGCCCAAAGGTCTCAGGTTCAAGCTCTGGAGATAACAAGAGTATCATTAAACTAGGTTACCAAGTGATGAGATAGCCAGAGTCCTGGACAGCTCAGCAGTGGTTCAGATGCCTTTCTGCTGGCATTTTGACACGTGCTTTGTTATCAGCCCAGGAATTATCCTCTTGCCTCTACTGCTTCAGCTGTCCTTCACTTCAACATCCAAGCCAGGATTTGACTCCCCTCAAGAACGGCAGTTTAAAGCCCATCTCCTTCAGGCAGTAATGATCTTGCCTGAGTAGCCCTTTAGCAATCTTCCTGAGCAGGGGTGAAATTGTGGAGTGTTTGGGATCACCAGTCCCTTTGCATGCTGTTACCAGGTACTGTCATCTCAGAAAGCACAGGTCACCTCTTGCCAGCATCAGAGGAATCACATGGACCCCACGCCAAGGACAGGAGCCATGCTGGTTTGGGTGCAGTTCTGCAATTTCTCACCAGGATTTGACCCCAATCTGAAGTCACCATGAAACAGAAGGATAAAGTAGCAGGAGAGGGCAAAGAAATCTTCCTCCAGTTTCTACCCAGTTCCACTAAAACTTGGCAGTAATGGATGTTTCCTGTGGGTCCTTCCAGGTCAGCAAGTGATGATAAAAAAACCAAAGTCTAGTCAGAGTGAGTGCTGGAGCAGTTCTCCCTGGGATATGTCGATGATAACTTCTCACAGATCCAGTGCAGGGATGCAGCATTAGTATTCAGAGCCTTAGGTCTTCCTATGCCACCATCAGAAGTTAACATCAAGATTTGATCTCTCTAACTGTCAGTAAAATCATTGCAACTGTAGGTATGCATGTGTCCTGCACCACACACACAGAAGGTTACTATTCCCTGTTTCCTGTTTTCTTGGTTAGGTAAAAACATTCCTTTCTTTAACATTTCTTCTGTAAACTTTAAAGTCTCTATATCGCTAACAAAAGGCTGCGTATCATAGATTGATTGAGGCAAGGAAAAAGCAAAACACTTCTCAAAAATGCCACCGATTTTAGCAAAATCCTCAATGCAAGCTGAAATAAAAATAGCCCTTGTTTTTCCTCCTTTTCCATCCCACAGAGCAGCCCCCAAGTGTCCCCAGGGGCATTTTTTCCCTGAGCTTTAAAAACGTTTGTTAATAATAATGTTAACAGTTATTTAAGTTTGATGGAGCGCTTTATGCCTTCCAAGGGCAGAACAAGCCAATGAAGTCTTTTGTGTAATGCGGGATGACAGATCTTTTTAAAGGTTAAAGGGAAAACAATTTGTGAGTTTGTTTTGTGAGCCACACTGGATTTTTCTTACAACATTGCTAAAGCAAAACTTTCCTCCCTGTTTACCCAAGTCTCCTTTAACCTGGATCCCGTTTGAAAATCAGATATTCTTCTAATTACATCATAGTTATTTCTATATTCTTCACTTCTGATGGAATGACAGGGCTGTAGAGTGTTCTTAAAACCTTGACCTTCTGTCCTCCATAGTGATGCTACACTGTCCCTCCATACTGCAGTCACACAGTAAAGAGAGCTTGGCCAGTTGGCGCTCTTTTAGGAACAGCTAAACCTCATATTTCTTATTCCTCCAGGTTTTCAACTGATTTCTTCTAACTCTGTTGAAAATTCTGAGAAACCTTGGATACGCTCCTTATGAAATCAAAAATTAGCTGCAATGTGTGCAGATTCTTGTTCACCTTCCAAAACACGGAGACATTTCTTAACATTCTCTCAACACAGATTTTCTGTTTTACCATCATTCCTCATGATTTGTTTAGTCAGCTGATCAGTTATGCTAATTTCAGTAGAAAACGTGTTTCAAGATTTTTATTTCTGTATTTTCTTGTAGGCAGAAGATCTCCATAAGCCTCCACAAATGTCAGTGAAAAACAAAGCAATGGTACAACAATGATTTATTATTTGGTATTTTGAAGTAGAAAAAAGGAAATAATGGGCATGAAAAATTATTCATAGGACTGATATTATTTCTTTTCTTTTTTCCTTTTTTTTTTTTTTTAATGCATGAATTGTTGTCACTACAATTAGAAGACCATCAAAGCCTCATTTTGCTCATCAGTCTTTATGGCAGTTGTTTCGAACCCACGCATGTTCTCTTCTAATTCAGTTGAGGAGCTAATGAATAACTCCCCCTAACAAAGGGGCCATTCATCCCAGGCTTACAGAACTATTAGAGGACAGTTGCGTAAATGTCACTGAAGACTAGTGTTTGCAGGCTTGTCTCTAAATTTGGTTATTCACAACCTTTGCAGCTCAATATTATTGCTGAACTGTGATCGTTTTCTAATTACCTTAATAATACCTATTAAATCACTTGAATTGCATAAGCTCAGACCTCCTTAAATACAACTTAACCTAATAAACACTGGTCATTCATTAAACAATAATGCTCATTATTTTTAAGAAGGTTGAACAGAATATTAAACTCACCGATTCCTGTATCATTAATTGTATATTATTAAAGCAACAAAGCACTTACATTTTGTTTGGGAAAACTTACAGCTTCATGCTTTTGCACCAGAAGAGCTATTGAGAGACAGTAACATCCTACGTTTCAGTATCTGCCCTATTTGTAACTGGCCACCTACACACAAACAATCCACAGGGAGAAAAAATAGTACTTTCACCTTAATGAGGGCAATCCAATTACTAAGGATGGGGAGAGAATGAGAAGCATCAATCTCTTGGCAGACAGCCTTCTTTAGGAAATGCGATTGTCAAAACAGCAAAAACAAGAGGTGGCTCTAGGCCATTTATCCTGGTATTCAGTGTCTATCCCAAGAGCAAGAAGCCTCTCCTCCCTCTGTATTTTTGACGTTTCCAAAAACCATCCACCTTTATACAAATCAGCAGTAAAGAAAAAACTAACACTCTAAATCCTCAAAGTCTTTTTAACAGACTTCCTCTCAGGCAGTGAGACGGGTGCCATTTGATAAATGGTTATGTTTTCATTTAAGGAAAAAAAAAAAAAAAAGAAGAAGAGATGCTAGCCTTTAAAATAGCATTTGAAATAGGTTGGCACTATCAATTATAGGAAATCAGTTAATAAAAGGCTGAACAAATAATGTCTCACTGAACCGATTAGTGCAGTGTTAGAATGGGGGTGGAAACTGCTAAGAAATATGGTATTAAAAAACCTGGCATGTAGAGATTGTGCTGGGTTGCCTAGCTAAGACAACAACAAGATCAGGTGCCAAAATATAGCTAGGTTTTCAGTGTTGTGCAACTGCTTGTCATGAAAGCACGAGGCTCAGCTTTCTAAAACAGAGGTAAATAAAGACGCATTTGCAATTGGGCTGTCAGATCCCCAGAATCCTTCCAGCACAGAGCTGCAGCCCCCTCTGAAGTCCCTTACGTGCATCGTTCACAGTCCCATCCCTGTTTTGAGCCTGGCAGGAGCACCCAGATGTCCCACCCCCCTCCAAGTGGTCTCCCCAGCTTCACCCCATGAGCACTGGGAAGTGTTCGTAAGGCTGGGCTGGCAGGAGGATGCCACAGTCCTGGGTGCTTGGGATTGTTGCTTCAGGTGAGTAAATACCTTGCCTCCAACCGGGGCCAGGACAGTGTCCCTGTTATCTTCTACCCACTGGGGGAAAGTCTGTGTGGTTCAGGTCTGTGTGCCTGCATGCTGCTGTTGCTATAGCATGGCCACCAGCTCTAATCACATTAATGGCATTTCACACTCTGGGAGAAGTCATTAAGGACTCTGTTACTAGGCACAGGCTGCTGCTGGCTTGGTAACTGAGATACAGCTCCTGGAAACCTCACTGGTTACCTCCAGAAGATGAAATTAAGCTCAAGATGTGATTTAAACAAAATGTGGGGGAGAGAGGAGTGGAAATGTAGATTCAGGTTCAATAATAAGGCAAATAATTCCATATCTGCAATAGCCAACAGTAATTTATAGCACTCGGTGTAAAGGTGCTTGAGCTAACAGAGTTTGAGGAAAAGGGTAAACAATAATCTTTGTCCTTCCAGTTACTCTTTCATTTCAGATTTTGCTCTGGACTCTATTTCTATGACAATCATTAAAACCCCTCAGCTTTTAAAAAGGTTAAAAAAATCACCACCAAACACACAAACGCTGCTTCATTTACCTGATTCTCCTCTTAGTTCTCTCTCCAGTTTGACACCAAAAATCTCCAGAGCTCTTTGTCTTTCTTCCAATTCTTCTAGCTGGCGCTGGATTGCCTGCAAAATCGTAATGGTATGAGAGCTACAGACATCGCTTTAAAATTCAGAGACAAAAGATGGTCTCAGCGGTTAGAGAAACAGCTTGAAAAGGTCTCGGAGGAGTCATGGGATTTGCAAACTCATTGTGGATATTAGGCGCCTAAGCAATTTAATAATTCCACTAGGTATCTATCCACATTTTTAGTGGGTAAGTATCAGAGGTATTAAAAGAACCTCAGTTTTTCTCTGTTGTAAAACAGAAATCAACTTTTCTGAGTCTCACAAGGTGTGAAAAGTCATTACCTTACAGATTCAGAGGCACATATTCTGAGAGGTTACATTAATAAAGCTCATATAAATACCAAAGGTTTGCAGCTAGAAAGCTTTGCCGGCTATTTTGTTGTCCATGGGGTTTTGTTGTTTGTTTTGTTTTCATATTTCACAAGCTTTTGACACAGGGAGGAAAGGGTCTAATAAGTAAGAAGTGATAATTCAGTGGCACTTCAGGAAGGACGTCTACATTCACTGATCTGTCCCCTTTTAAATAAGCTGTTCAGAGGTACGATGTAGAAAGTAGGCATGAAACACCTTAAAAGGTTAAATTGACAAAAATAAATGCTCAGCAGTTTCCCTTTCAGGCTATGTTAGGGAATACTAAACCAAGCCCTCAGCAATAGTCTAACAAACATGAAAGATGCTTTGAAAAGTTTGGATGCGATTATTTCCACAAAGCAGTAAATAAGAGAAGTTGCGTATGCCTCTAATTTTACCTTGCAATAATTTACAATTCTCAGATAAAAACTAGAGCATAGTTGTTCGTACTTTGGATTAAATAAAATACTACTTGTCATGATTTAACCCCAGCTGGCAGCTAGAATTATGCAGCCACTTGCTTACTCCCACCAGTTTGGATGGGGGAGAGAATCAGAAGACTAAAAGTGAGAAAAAATTTGTGGGTTGAGATGAAGACAGTTTAATAGATAAAGCAAAAGCTGCATATGCAAGCAAAGCAAAACAAGAAATTCATTCACTGCTTCCCATGGGCAGGCAGGTGTTCAGCCACCTCCAGGAAAGCAGGGCTCCATCACGTGTAATGGTTACTTGGGAAGACAAATGTCATCACTCCAAACATCCCACGCTTTTTCCTCCAGCTTTATATGCTGAGTGTGACATCATATGGCGTCACAGTGACTTTCCATAATTAAGAAAGAAAATTGTTTACTTTCATTGTTGTAGGAGAGAAAGAACAAACCCATTACACTATTTTCGCAGCCTCCTACAGTGCATAGGAATAATAGCTCAGTTTCTTACATTCTCAGGGACTGATATTATTTCTCCTTTCTACCTCTTTCCATCTTAAGTGTATTCTTCTCTTATTGCCAGTCCCTATTCCCTCTCATTCTTCACACACAATTACAAAATTATTTTGATCTCCCAGGGCACATGCGGATTTGTCACCTATAGAGATCCAAGGCCCTGCCACGTACATCTTTCTGCTCCTGATGGTTTTAGGGGATTTCCAAACAGAAGGCAGTGAACAGCAGTGAGGAACAAGGGAAGGTACAGAGCCCACACTGGGGACCCCTCGTCCTGGCTAGTCACTCTTGGGAGACAAATGGGACACCTGCAAACTACATTTTCACCTGTGCTTTGTGAAGCCTCTTCAGCTCCTCTTGTTTAATCAATTGCTTTGTCTCCTTCTCCAGCTTCCTTCTCCTTCTGAGAGTCCTTTTTGCCTACAAAAGAGAGAGAAAAAAAATAAAGGCAATCAAAGCATAAGTATGCTGTCACAGGTTTCCTCAAACCTTCCCCAGAATCACAGAACCATTGAGATTGGGAGAGACCTCTGGGTCCATCTAACCCGACTTCTCTGCTCAAACTGAGCTGAGCTACTGCAGGGTGCTTGAGACAACCTAACTTAAATGAAAATATTCACGTAGAAAAGATTTCATGCATTTGTCTACACTGACTTTAAATCATTACAAGCTCTTTTTGCTACCCTAAGTGAGAGTGAACTGTGTCTATCAATGAAAAAATGTCTGAATCACAAAGTTAGCTACAAACAACATACCACTATACGTGGCTTCTGCAGACATCACCTTCTTCAGGGAAGAAGCCAGGCACAGCCAGTGGGAAGCACCAGTTTAAGGAAACAACTCACTTCTACTGCTGTAGCTGCTAAGTAGTAAAATCCACTTTGGATTGCTTGTAACACGGTAAGAGGGACATATCTGAGAGAAACAGCCATCACAGGACGCTACAGGAAGCCCTACAAAACCTTCCCCAACCCCATTTCTCTACAGTGTTACAGAGGTTTCTTGCCTTTCCCTGGGCCTCTGTTGCTGTTGCCAGGAAAGAGGGGCAGCACGTGCTGCAGGGCTGGCCGAGGGAATCGCCTGCACTTGCTGCAGCTTGCCCTTGACCCAAGATATCTGGAAATACTTCAAGGCTGTGGTTTTCCCATTTTGGAGGAGACAGAATATATGCGCACCGTAGACAAGACAATTAAAAAAAATCTAACAAGCCAGGAAGACGCTAAAATTTTTCCCACTGAGTTTCCCCAGAGAAAAACGGTGGTACTGGCAAAAAAGCAGCCAGAGCTGGCAGGAAAAGAGGTGCTAGGAGGCAGCCGAGGGAAACAAGCTGCATCAAAACTGAGTCACTGCAAACACTCATGCGCAGCAGCTGCTCACTCACCCCCTTTCTGGCAGCTGCTCCAGCACTGCTGCCTTCCCTCTGCCTGCTCCTGCCTGTCTCCGTGGCTGCCCGCACTGTTGGGAGTGGCTCCTATGCAGTTTTCTCCCATGTCTCCCTTTTTTTTCTTCATTGTTTTTAAACATTATTTTTGTTTCTCCTGTAACAGGCAGGATGAAGGATGAAGTCTGACATCTCGGCGCATCCTGATGCAGGATGTGCTGCCACACGTTGCTGCACTTCTGCCTTGTGGCTCTTTGGTTCCTCTAGAGCTGCACAACTGGGTTTCCATCCAAAGCCCCACTTAGCTTTCAGCTCAGTTTCAGTGTACTGGGCAGCCACTTGCTTTGTTTTCCTTTTTTCCCCATCCTCAAAGGCAACAAATCAACAGGCCACCTCATGCTATTAACTCCACTTACTGATATTCCCTCCACAGGAAAGAGGTAAACATGTTTCTGATGAGCTATGCGGGGTATAAAAGCTCCGTTTCTTCAGATCAGAGCTGGTTATCAAGAGTTCACTGGTGCTTTAACCCCACTGCTCCTGCCAGCCACAGGAACCAAGTTAGGGCTCGGAGATCCTGGTGTGCAGCAGGTCCTTTTGGCATATAAGGTCTGGGTCCAACTTCGTGGCTCAGGCAGTCGTGCTGATTAGGACAAACACAGTGTTTTCCATGCAATCTGCCTGTAACACCTCTCAAATGAAGTTGTATTTCCCCAAGAGAAATCTGCATCTGTTTGGTTTAATTTTTTCAATGGTTTGCTTGTTGGGCTACATATTAAGGCCACTTAAGGATGCAGCTTCAAAGTGATTTCAGTGAAACATGCCTGCTTGTCATATTAAGACCTTCTCTGTCAACGTTGGTGTAACCTGGGGGAATTAAAGATCCAAAGAGGCAACAGAAATTTTGATTTTCAGCAGTCTTAAAGAGTTTTACCAGATTTTTCTCTCCATGACAAGTAACTTACACTGATAAAGCATTCCCATCCCCACTGCGTTTTGGATCAAACCCACATGATAAATCTTAAATACAGTCCAAATGAGGAAATATCTTTGTTTCCAAGTCAAGGTTACCTTGTGTGTTAATGAAAGCTGGGATTCAAATTCATCATCAGAGGAAGAAGTAGAATACTCAGTAGCTTGTTTTATGACAGGTGGGTGTTCACATCCTAAAATGCAGGAACAAAATAGTTAGTGAAGCAAAAAATACTGTTCTTTAACTTACACAGACACTTTGCACCTGTCTTGAGTTCTAATCAGAAGCACCTAGAGTAAATTGAAAATTTGGCTGACAGCACTAATTAAATTTTTGATCCCTGTCAAAAACTCTATCTGGGTATATTTGATTTTTTTCAGGTATTGCATACAAATAGATTAATTCCTTGAGCACCCTGCGTGTAGCATGCTGTTCTGAATGCTCTCAACATTCATTAAAATGTATATCTGAAGTTAGCCATATTACCCAAATGATTGTATAAGGCTCACTATACAGTGTAATTGAATGCAAAAAGTCTGAGCCAGCTCTTAAACAAATTATCCTTATGTGGCTTGTAGCATCTGGCACCCATTTTTACTACATGACATCTGCTCAGTGTAAAATAGTTGGCGTCAGAATGTCTGGTCATATAAAAAAATCACAAATGTAATCAGAAGCAAATGGACTAAGAGAACAAGGCTTTATCACACAGCCTCATGCAACATAAATATTTCATTAATTATGTCTAAACAAACGTCACTTATTTTTCTGCTTTAGGAATATTATCACATCATTGAACTGTTGATTAAAATGCCATAATAAGTCAGGAAAATCCATATATCACAACAATGCACTCCATAAGGAAAACTCAAAGGCTGCCTTTGGAAGGAGCATGCTTTCAGAATTATAAATTAAATTACATTTAATTGCAGCAATTTTATCATGCCTGTTTTTCCAGAATCTTGTTTCAACTGGGTGTAAATATTTGAATTTCTTCTTAATTTGTCTAATTCATAGCTTCATTCTCTTTATTTCAGAAAATAAAACTGCTTTTGGAACATCTGTCTCTATGCTTCAACCTGCTACAGGGTTAATGATTAACAGCTGGGCAACATCTTGGAAATGTACATTATTTAAAGCTAACAGTGCCATTTTTCTTTGTATCTGAGAGGTAACAGTTGGCTTTCTGTGTGCAAGTTGTATTCAGATTAAAATCACTTCCCCCTCTCCCAGGGTAAATGTTTCTTCTTTGCCTTGTCCTGGATCCCAGTCCTGAAATAGGACTTCTGTCTCAAGCCCAAATTTAAAATCAGGATCCATGAAACACGTTCATCCCAGGCAGTAAAGCAATCAAGAAATTCTCATTTTTATCAGTGGTCTCAATTTTAGAAGCACCCGGTCCTTGCGTTCAATGAAGGTGCAAATTCAGAGGGCCCAGTAGAACAGACTTGGGTCCTGCCCTCCTTTTTGCAGGACAAATTCTTGGGCAGCAGATGCCTGCAAGCAAAAGCAGGGAGGTGCAATAGCCCTCCAGGTGGGTCTCCAGCCTCCCAGGTGATTCCCCTGCTCCAGAATTGCCCAGGCTGCCACCCTATACCTCCTTGCCTTGTGGCACTTGGAGGAGGGACAGAGCTTCTGCTGGGGACTCTCTGATGGCTCACGATTGCTGGGGTCACACCAGTGCCATGCAGAGCCCCATGCTATGCAGACAAGAGTGCAAATCCAGCTGCACCCCATCTCTGCCCCTGGTATGGACAGTCAGTTGTAAAGCCCTTCTCAGTGCATGAGATGGAGGAAAACATGGTGGGTATCACAGTTGGTGCTTCTTTTGAGGAGTAAACTCTCCTATCTTGCTTTTCCCTGTGCAACCACCTTGCAGCCACACCACTGGTGACATCAAATTCCACAATATGCAAGCAGCAAACCTTACAGCCCGCCATGGCTGGAAACACAAGCAATTACACGCTCCCTTTCTTCTCTCAGCTGTGGGAATAAGTGACCGCTTCCCTGAGTCCTCCTCCTTGAGTGATATCAATAATTTAAAAGGCGTTACGAGGTCTAAAGGGAAAGCAGCTTGCTGTAAAACAAGGGCACCTGCCTCCTCCTCGGGGGGTGTGACATGGGAGCCTTTTGCCTTTTTGGGACACAGAGAGGGTCAAGGATCTCCCCGAGGACTTCCAAGGGCTATCTCATGAGCACTAGGAAGCCAATGTCTGTGCACAGAATAGATTCATAACATCTACAATGCCTGTCTGCTCTGGAGACACAGGTATTTGCACCTTGCTCTACAGAGAAAAGCCATTTAGACTGCTACAAAACAGCTCAGCTTTTCAAGGGATGCAAAACCCAAAGCTCTGTGAGACAACAACCACCCAACTGCGATCAGCAACATCCTTCATCGTCTCCACCCAAGAAGCTTGTAGGAAAAAGAACCATGTGAAACCACTCAGTGACGAGGCATTTGATGGGCCTACCCGTGCTCATTTACAGTTATGGTCTCTTTTCACATTTATTGCATATATATTTCACAGCTCTGATGTTCTCTGCTAATATAATGTGGATAATTGAAGCATGGGCTGCTCCAAGGAGCACACAGCAAAGAGTGACAGAATTGGGATAAAGGGTTTTGGCTCTCAGATGTGTGGTCCTGCACATTTCACGGATATAGAAACAGTGGGACAGTGCCTTTCAACATTAAAAGGGCAGCCATTCAGTGCTCTGCTCAACTATTTTTCTTTGGAGAGACCAGAAATATGCTTTAAAATTTACCCCAGGTGCAAATTTCAAGACAACTGTAACAAGCCTAGTAAGAAATTACCTCTCTGAATGAACTTGCTTTATGCAGAGCTAGAGAAAAATACTACAAGTTTATTCTATTTTTGTAAAAAAAAACCACACACAACAAAACACAAACCCAAAACATCAACAAAACCCCCCAAAAAACCCAAACCAAAACACTCTTCTGTATTACAGTATCTACATATTATACTAGATGACTGAGCATTAATCTTTCCCATCTCCAGAGGGGTGGGATAGGCAGAATTTAGCTGCCAGCTGTGAGGACTTGGACAAGGAGTTAACACATTAAAATGTTCAATTCAGGGACTTTTACACTTACCGAGTAATTTAAATCTGAAACATACAACTTTAATAGTAAAGTTCAATAATTAATAATTTGTCTGCTCCAAACACAACAAGTCTTAAAGCTTGGTAGCTACAGAAAAGATTGTAAACCCATTTTTTTTTTCTCTAAATATTAACTTAACCCTTCTAGACCTGGGCTTTTGCTTTCCTGCCACCTCATTCCTCCAAAATGGGAGTTATTTATTGTGTAAGTATTCTAACATTTCCCTGACTTCCAAATTAACAGACGTTATACTACAGCTTTTCCTCTCCAACTGATGTGACTTTGGATCACTAGGAATAGTCCACCATGGGTTTAGTTCTTAATTATAAAAGGGTCAAATATTCCTGTAATCTTTATTAATCTGTTCTTGATTTCTACCTCAGAGTAGCTAATAGGAGTTTGGTGAAGAAACCTTTCCAACATACCTGATTTACAGCTGTCAAATTGCAGGAAACTGAGTATTAATTATTACAAACAATCCTGAACAAAGAGGGAGGTATCATACGGACAGGTTAAGAAGGTGATACCTTCTGTTAGAAACGGGCAATGCCACCACTGCCATCAATATGCATGTCACAGCTCACCTACCTTTCCTGGGGTGTTTCTGTGCCACAGTAATGACTGTAGGCAGATATCTGCACAGCCCAAAACTTCCAAGTGGCTCTGAGGAATAGTTCTTATGAAACAGAAAGCATTAGCCAGAAATTCTTTAGACCAGGTCTGGCTATCAGAAGCTTGAATGACCCATATGGATCTACAGGTGTAAGTTTGAGCAATGGGCAATCTGCTGCTTTGTAATTAAGATCTCTGCTTCCTCATGCTGAGCTTCAGCAGGTGGTTGAACACTTGATAGGAGGTGACAGAAGGACAGAATATAGTTTTAGCTTGGACAGATACCTGGATTTGAAATGTAGAAGTCATCAGCATAGGAAAGACATCTGGACATGTATTTGCAGATGAAGTAACTAAGATAAGGTGTAGGGAAAGATGAGCAACATAACATAGAAGTAAATGTGTGGGGTGAGACTGAAGGTCCTTCCAGACTGTCTCCAGGAGTGTATGTCTAAAGGAATGCTATTGGCACGGGGCAGTCATTCCTCCTCTTAACACTCGCCCAGCTTCCAAGCATTTTTTCAGTGCAGGAGCTTTCTAAATTGGATGTGGTTTCTAAGCACCTGATTAATCCTCAGTGGATTTCTCTTCAATAATCTTGCCCAGTCTCATCTCAAGCTCATGGAGTTTTATCACCCAGCTCATTTTTTGGCTCCACAAGCCGCATCCTATTGAGGGAGGAAACACCAGCATAATGTAAGAGCAACCATACTCACACAGAACAAGTCTGTCTGGCCTCAGATAGGATGGAAAAGCCCTACTAAAAAGAGCCAAAAGGAGTGTGAGAAAGAGCCTCATTAAACTGGTTTCTACAAGGTGCTAGGAGTATTTTTTTTTTCTTTAAAGAAAATATTTTTTCTGACATTCATGGTAAATTTCAAGAGAGAAAAATAACGACATATAATGTGGGCTAAAGCTTGTCATCAGTTCATGACTGAAGTTTGCCAAGCCTGGGCCTCAGACAAGGGCCAATATGAAATAGAAATGCCATTTCAGAGAGCCAAGAAGGACTTGGCCCCTTACCAGTTTGATTTACTCAAATATGAATGTTTGAAAAAGTTCAGGGAGCTGCAGTGCTGAAATGTTGAAGATGACAGATTACTGGGCAAATGGCTAAATCAAAGCTGCATTTTTTTTATCCTGAACAGACTTTGCAATGCCTACTTTCAATAATTATAGTAATTTAATGATTCCTCTTTTGGCTTGCATAGCACACAAGTTTATTCTATTTTTGAAAAAAAAACAAACAAAAACCCACAACAAAACACAAACCCCAAAAATAAACAAAACCCCCCAAAAAAACCCAAACCAAAATGCTCTTCTGTATTACAGTATCTGCATGTTATACTAGATGACTGAGCATTAATCTTTCCTACAAGTTTATTCTATTTTTGTAAAAAAAAACCACACACAACAAAACACAAACCCAAAACATCAACAAAACCCCCCAAAAAACCCAAACCAAAACACTCTTCTGTATTACAGTATCTACATATTATACTAGATGACTGAGCATTAATCTTTCCCATCTCCAGAGGGGTGGGATAGGCAGAATTTAGCTGCCAGCTGTGAGGATTTGGACAAGGAGTTAACACTTAAAAATCTTCAATTCAGGGACTTTTACACTTACTGAGTCGTTTAAATCTGAAACGTACAACTTTAATAGTAAAGTTCAATAATTAATAATTTGTCTGCTCCAAACACGACAAGACTTAAAGATTGATAGCTACAGAAAAGATTGCAAACCCATTTTTTTTCTCTAAATATTAACTTAACCCTTCTAGACCTGAGCTTTTGCTTTCCTGCCATCTCATTCCTCCAAATTAGGAGTTATTTATTGCGTAAGCATTCTCACATTTCCCTGACTTCCAAATTAACAGACATTATACTACAGCTTTTCCTCTCCAACTAATGTGACTTTGGATCACTAGGAATAGTCCTAGTGGGACTTGTTTAGTTCTTAATTATAAAAGGGTCAAATAGGCTTTTGCTTTCCTGCCACCTCATTCCTCCAAAATGGGAGTTATTTATTGTGTAAGTATTCTAACATTTCCCTGACTTCCAAATTAACAGACGTTATACTACAGCTTTTCCTCTCCAACTGATGTGACTTTGGATCACTAGGAATAGTCCACCATGGGTTTAGTTCTTAATTATAAAAGGGTCAAATATTCCTGTAATCTTTATTAATCTGTTCTTGATTTCTACTTCACAGTAGCTACTAGGAGTTTGGTGAAGAAACCTTTCCAACATACCTGATTTACAGCTGTCAAATTGCAGGAAACTGAGTATTAATTATTACAAACAATCCTGAACAAAGAGGGAGGTATCATACGGACAGGTTAAGAAGGTGATACCTTCTGTTAGAAACGGGCAATGCCACCACTGCCATCAATATGCATGTCACAGCTCACCTACCTTTCCTGGGGTGTTTCTGTGCCACAGTAATGACTGTAGGCAGATATCTGCACAGCCCAAAACTTCCAAGTGGCTCTGAGGAATAGTTCTTATGAAACAGAAAGCATTAGCCAGAAATTCTTTAGACCAGGTCTGGCTATCAGAAGCTTGAATGACCCATATGGATCTACAGGTGTAAGTTTGAGCAACGGGCAATCTGCTGCTTTGTAATTAAGATCTCTGCTTCCTCATGCTGAGCTTCAGCAGGTGGTTGAACACTTGATAGGAGGTGACAGAAGGACAGAATATAGTTTTAGCTTCAACAGATACCTGGATTAGAAATGTAGAAGTCATCAGCATAGGAAAGACATCTGGACATGTATTTGCAGATGAAGTAACTAAGATAAGGTGTAGGGAAAGATGAGCAACATAACATAGAAGTAAATGTGTGGGGTGAGACTGAAGGTCCTTCCAGACTGTCTCCAGGAGTGTATGTCTAAAGGAATGCTATTGGCACGGGGCAGTCATTCCTCCTCTTAACACTCGCCCAGCTTCCAAGCATTTTTTCAGTGCAGGAGCTTTCTAAATTGGATGTGGTTTCTAAGCACCTGATTAATCCTCAGTGGATTTCTCTTCAATAATCTTGCCCAGTCTCATCTCAAGCTCATGGAGTTTTATCACCCAGCTCATTTTTTGGCTCCACAAGCCGCATCCTATTGAGGGAGGAAACACCAGCATAATGTAAGAGCAACCATACTCACACAGAACAAGTCTGTCTGGCCTCAGATAGGATGGAAAAGCCCTACTAAAAAGAGCCAAAAGGAGTATGAGAAAGAGCCTCATTAAACTGGTTTCTACAAGGTGCTAGGAGTATTTTTTTTTTCTTTAAAGAAAATATTTTTTCTGACATTCATGGTAAATTTCAAGAGAGAAAAATAACGACATATAATGTGGGCTAAAGCTTGTCATCAGTTCATGACTGAAGTTTGCCAAGCCTGGGCCTCAGACAAGGGCCAATATGAAATAGAAATGCCATTTCAGAGAGCCAAGAAGGACTTGGCCCCTTACCAGTTTGATTTACTCAAATATGAATGTTTGAAAAAGTTCAGGGAGCTGCAGTGCTGAAATGTTGAAGATGACAGATTACTGGGCAAATGGCTAAATCAAAGCTGCATTTTTTTTATCCTGAACAGACTTTGCAATGCCTACTTTCAATAATTATAGTAATTTAATGATTCCTCTTTTGGCTTGCATAGCAGAGGAATGCAGCATATATTAAACCAGCATGTTTTTCCAAAATACTTTAAATATAAATAACTTACAGCATTATTCAAACCTATCAAGAGCTTTTCCCATTTTTGTAGGAACACAACATATTTATTGTAATACATTTAGTTAAGAGCAAGCCAGCTTGGCTTAGTTGATGGGTAACAGCTAGGTATAGATGCAGAAAAAGTGTCCTGTTCGGGACCCCAGGTGACAGAGGTGAACAGTAGCCACTCTCTGTGGCTTCAGATCAGGCCTTAGCATCCTCTGGCTCAATGGGGATGCCTGGTTTTGTGAGTTGTTTGACAAAGGATGCTTCAAAAAGCCAACCAAAAAATTAAGGAACAAGAGCAAGAATTATTCTATTGATTTAAATAAGCTTCAGATCAAGTCTGTTGTATACTACATATCTTCCTCACAGCATGCAGTAGTTCTGAAGAAGAAAGGATGCAAAAAGGATCTGACAGCTCACTGGGAATATTTCAGTTACTTCACGTTTTACAAACAGATTGTTATTTTAATGCTGCAGTAGAGCAGCAATTTCACAGTTACAGCTTGGGCTGCAATTTAATAAAGTAAGAAACAAACAGATATGTCAATAAAATTCAATAGGTTATTTAGTTAGGTAACTGTGACTTTCTGCAATGGGCTAGTGGAAAGATGGATCATGGAGAAAGACAGGTGGGTGCAGCTGTCATACCTCATATTTTATACCTGAACTTAATTTTTTCTGTGCTCAGATTACTCAGATTGTTCTTTGTCTGATAGCAATATCTCTTACCATCTGCAATTTTAATACTAACCTTGTTCTTGCAAGGAAACATGAAAACTGATGCCTTTGAATTCCTACCCAAATAGACTCACAAATAGGTCAGAGTAGGACAATAACTGCTATCTCCTCTCAAATAAAAGAACAAGGGGATATTAATGACAGTGAAAAGCTCTACAGTTCAGTGACTACAGCAGCAGACAGAGTTGAAGAGACACCTACTGAGAAAGCAGATACACAAAGCAAAGCTTCTTGCTATTGCAACTGTATTGCTTTGGTCTCTGAGCTCCTCATGAAAAGGGTAGCAAATGTACTCTGCACTGGAGTTTTTGGTGCTTGTCCTTGTGTTTGCCCACTGTATGACCCTTTCTGCAACACACTCGACATCACAGATCACAGCAGCAGCCGCTCTTCACAGCATCCCACTCTGTCTCACCACTCCTTCCATCTCAGCAAGTATATTTTCCTGTCCCAAACACTTCTGAACAGCAGCAAGCAGCAGAACAAACTTGGGTCCAGAGAGCTGCCCTCTGTTAGCAAATCCATTCTGCTCCTTTAAACCAGAAGCAACTCCTAAACCTTAACCAAAAAATGTATTTATTAGGTCTTCCTATGTAGAAAGTAACTATAAATTAAATATAACATACAATAGATGTGTTTGTGTGATCATGCACAGGTCTTTTAAATGTTAAGTGGTATTACTAGAAATAAATAATTCCATTCATCCTCACCTGTGGAAGGGTAACGTAGCCTGTTTTCTGGAGAATGGTCCCTCATGGAAGACAGAGATGACACAAAATAATTCCCTTCTCTGTCGTAAACTTTACTTCTCAGTCTATCAAAGAGTGACCCAAGACTACCCTTCTGTGCAGAGTCATCTGAATTGGCCTTGGAGGTGTTCTTGGGCTCTGGAGGTGAAAGGAGGAGGTACTTTTCATTACAGATAAATATGTCATCCACAGGAGGCCCTGAAGGCGTCTCTTTAAAGGTAAACTTTTCTAGGAGACCTGGGACATCTTCCATCCTAGTGCATGATGATTTCTGAGGTATACTGGTTGTCTTGGAAGGCCTGGTGTGAGGACTGTAGACTGGGAAGGACACCTTCTCACTGTAATCCCCTGGAGATCTCTTTTGAGAGCTGACAGAAAAATGACATGGATTTGAGAGAGGGCTCCCAGTTTCTAAATACTCTCCTGACCACTCCCTTACTTTAAGCTCCTGTGCCTGAGTGTTATTTATTCTATTATTGTTACTGTTCCTTTGGCTTAGGGACCCAGGAGTACTGGGGAAGATGAAAAAAGCTTGTTCTGAAGAGGCTTTGACTTTGCTGTCTGAGTCTTGCTTTAGTCCCTCTGGAGATGAGGTTAGAGGCTCCAAAATGGACCTCTTGATCGCATTGGCTATGAACCTCAGCGGTGATTTTGGCTGGCCAGCTGTGTGCTCCCTGGCAGCTGCATCTGGATTCCTCAGAGCATCTTTTGTGTCACCTGGCAAAGCTGGCTGAGTATCATCTGCAAATAAGAGAGACACAGGACCACCAGACAGCTTGAATCCATCTTCTCTCCAGTCAGCATCCTTCTCCTCTGAAGTCCTCATTGCTCCTTTGTTTCGATACCCCTGATTGGTTCCACCTAAGTCCGCCCCGTTTGAATCATATGACAAGGGTCGCTGTTGAGTACAAAGCACCGTCCTCTTTTTTGCCTCCTTTAATTCTTGCTCAAACTTTTCTTGTCGGTGTCTTGTATGTTTATCATCTTTTTCTTTCAGATCCAGAGATGACACTACTTTTGTCTCCCTGTTAAAATCTTCTGCTTTAGATGTATGTTTCTGGTTTTTTACCTTCCATCCCGGGGCTGTGTATGTCCCAATGTCACCATCTGTATCTTCAGGCCCAGAATAGTCAGCAGCCAGTGTCCCGTTGCCAGGAGGGGTCCCTGGAGAACCTCTGGTCCTGTTCTGAACAGGGCAATGGGGCACATAGAGACAGATATCTTCAGGCATCTCTCTGGCTTTTTCTTTTATTTGAAATACTGGGCTGCAGGGTTTGAAATGTCCTCTTGTACCTTCTGGTGGTTTCCTGTAAGAAGCCGACTATGAAAAGAAGATTATTTTGTGGGTAGAAAAATAAATTTTTTTTGTTTATTTTATTTCATATAATATTTTAATCAATTTCACTCTTAGCATAATACCAATAAACATAATATTTTATTTATATACGTGCATACATATGTAGATGATAATAAAATAGGAAGAAAAGCTTTTCTCCCTAGAGGGCTAATATTTCTCTGCAAGTGTAGATCTAATACTACTGCTAAATTTAATAGTCTAAAAATAACATTATTCATTCTAAGAATCTGTCATATCTTTATGAATTGCTTTTAATATTTTCCTTAGAAAGAAACAGTCTCATCTACAAGAAAATAAACAAAAACAGATCTGCTCTATTCTCCTAGGTGCATTTCATTTGCATCACCTTAAGAGTTTCTAGCAAGCAAAGAGACCATCATCTGTCATCTCCAACTGCTTTTATAATATTGCATGCTTACATGGTGCAGGTAGGAATGAACGAAGTAACTCAGAAAAAACTGTAAAATGCAAGATGGTAGTTTAGAACAATTCAAATAGTTCTCTCTTATGATTATTTTTCATTTGGTAAAGATTTAAATTCATTTCTCTAGCCACTAAACTCTTCTGCTGGAGATAGTAGCAAGGATAATGTCCACGTTATCTAGCCAGCAGACCAAAACGGGGTTTTTAACTTCTTAAGAGGGAGGCATTTTATCCTCAATGCTATGTGATAACAAATGGAGAGAAGATTCAATTCCTGTTTCCACTTATGTGTCAGATTCCCAAATTCACACAGGTGAAGCCATTGATCTGTCTGCCATCTCATTTCCCAGAAGCATCAGAAGGCAATAATGATTACTCCTTATTTCACAGCTGTATCACATCACATTTGATGACTAAAATTAATATTGGCCAGAATCTCAGCTGAAAAAAACATGAGGGACACCTATAAACAAACAAATACCCTCTTAGTCCTCTCTTTTTAGAGTAGGAAAAAGGCCACCAAGCAGTGCTTATAGAGTGGGAGCTGAATGGAGTCACCTCTCCTCGAGTGCAGCGTGGCCAGGCAGCATTGTGCAGCTCTGCTCCCCTGGGATGTTCCCTTCCTGGCCCTATTGTCCTGGACCGGATATCAACTACCACTGTGGACATGGAAGATTGATTTTTTTTTTTTTCTAACTCAGACCTGAGGTCAAGCAACTTTAATAATGTTTAACCTAAGGGTGAGGACAACGGGCTAGGACACTGAGGACATGGGCTGGTCCCTGTTCCACCCAGCTCCGAGTCCGGGGGACGTGCTGCCCTTTACTCGAAACGGTCAGTCGTGACTCCTGCTGCAGAACTGTAGTTAGGGCAGGCCCACCCTTCCTCAGCATTTAAAAAAAAAAAATAAAAAAAGAAAATAGAAAGGAAACCCTAGGCCCTGATAAAAGCTGAAGATGCTCCTGATCTAGGGGTGGTGTGAAGTCACTGGAACAGGTTGCCCAGAGAAGTTGTGGATGCCCCACCCTGAAAGTGTTCAAGGCCAGGTTGGATGGGGCTTTGAGCAACTTAGTCTAGTGAGAGGTGTCTCTGCCCATGGCTGGGGGGTTGGAACTCAATGATCTTCAAGGTCCCTCCTACCTCTAACCATTCTGATTCTATGAGTCAGAGGCCTGCTACAAATCAGAAGAAGTCTTCTGCCCACCAGATGCAAGTGGTAAACAGTAGACACAGGTACACCTATGTGTAAGGGCTTTAATGGCCTGAATCACCCAGGCTCCCATGGCCAGTTGCCTGTGGCTGGCACTGTGGGACCCCTTACCTCAGCTTCCAGATTTGCTCTCCAAGGCCAGCGCTGGCACTTGCCTTTCCCCTGGTGACAAAAGTGGCATTTAAGCCACACAGATGTGATCCCTCTCACTCCACTGCTGCTGGCACCTGGCCTTGCCCAACATGCCACATGTGGAGACCTGTCTCTACCCAGCCCTACGAGCACACAGGCAGACAAACAGCCAGCTTGGGAGCCCCAGGGGTCAGAGATTTTGGGGGGGTACCTCTCCTTTGGGCATGAATTGTGGCACAAATGAAATCCTAGTGGCAGTTAAGGGAAGGGCAAGATGTTGGTGCCTACATCTTGGCTAATGTAATAGGTTAGTGCCTAACTTTCAGTGCGATTAAGGTCCAAGTCCCAAAGAAAGCAAATGCTACTTATCTGCATGATTTGGGTATGGGTATATCAATCAGAGCATCGAAGTCTCTTCCCTGTGTATAGCACAGGCATAACTTCAATTTTAGTGGTTGCTGTGAAGACCAAAACTGTTTGAAAGAGCAGAGGATGCTCAGAGAGCCCGCTAAGAGCAGACACACCAGTAGTTACACTCGTTTTGCTGTGCACCCTGCTTCATACCTGTGTTTGGGAATGATCCTCTCCAGGACCACTTTGACAGCTGGCTGAGCTGTCCTTCCAGTGTAGCCCAGGTTTCTTGCTGGACAGTAGAGGGAAACCTGCCAGAGACACAGATTTAACCATCATATTTGTATTGCTTTTGTCTTAGATAAATCTTGCAATTAAAGAATGAGTGTAGGAAGTTAAAAAGTCATCTGGACCTGCAGTAATGAAGTTTACGGCCTCACTCACATGTGTGTGCACACTGTGCCAAACACATGTTGACATTTTCAGCAGTGGATCTGAACTGCTTCCACTTTTTGCCTGGATGTAGTGAAGCAGCTTTTGAGTTCCAGGAAACTTTCTGGAAAACCAGCCCTCTTTAGAGGGCTTCCAGGCATTCAAAGCAGAGGCAGTCAAAAGCAGCGACTTGAAGCTTTGGGTAGCTCTGAGAAATGAAGAAATGGGTGACTTCTGAGAGTGCTGTCTGTCAGAGTGGGAAAGAAATGGGAAATGCAACCACCTGCAGGCAGCAAGGACAGAAACAATCCTGCCACGTCCCACACCAGGCCAACAGGGAATGCTGGGGGCTCTCTGAGGATTAGGCAAGGTAAGTAATTGCTAACAGCCTTGAACCAAAACTAGCACACAGACTTAGACCTGCTGGAAGAAAAAAAATGTAGGGAGTTAACTTGTACCTGAAGGGAGTCAGGAGAGCTCTCTAATCTTTGTGCCTGTGGGAATTTTACATAATAAATAATATTTGGACAGAAGGAGAGTATCCCTGAGCCAAGATATTACCATGTCAAGCTTCAACATGACAAGTGCATTTACAGCTGAATTGTTAACTCCTAAACTCAATTATTAGTTCTGAAACCCACAAAGGTTCCCAAAGCAAACATTGGTTCTTGTATGTAGGGATTAAAAGCAGCATAAGGACAAATGTAACATGCCAGACAGAGAAGATAGTTTCTGCACATGGACTTCAGAAAAGGCAAACCAGGGACAGAGGCCAAATTTCCCTTCCTCTCAGCGTCTCACCTGCTCGTTCCCAATCTTGATGCAATTTGTTATGTTCAGTCAAGGACTGAGGGAAACAATTGGCTGGAGTTCGTTAAGGAACTCCTGTAGGGATCAGCAACCAAGGGCTGACCTTTGTATTCTATATAGTGAATAGAGCCATGGGAAAACAGGAGAATTCAGAATTAGGATTAAAAAAAACCCCACTGGTACCTGTATAAGTGAGCCAGGGGGTTTTGTCTGGTCCACTAAAGCCCTTTGCCTCCTGCCACGGGCAAACATCAGGGCTCAGCACACTGAGGGAAGGTGCAACCTCCGCAGCAGCGACAGCCATCACACTGATGAGGGCATAAAACCCACAGCTCAGGGGTCTGCAGGGCAATGGTACCTGCCCACATAACACTGATGAGGGCATAAAACCCACAGCCCAGGGGTCTGCAGGGCAATGGTACCTGCCCATGGGGACAACTACTTCCCACTACAGCTCTCGTGACCATGCACTAGCCAACAAGGACAGGGCCTGCACATGGGAGAACATGGCAAGTCACAGCTTGCCATCTTTCACAGAGATAATGGGTTTATTCCCACCAAGATGCTGAATCCACGTTTGCGGCTTCACATTCAAAATAGGATTTTGAAAAAAGTTCCCTTGGGCACTATCATGCTCTGTTTGGCCCAAAAGCTACTCCAAGTGACCAAGATAAATTAAGAGCACTGTGTTCCCTGTGGCCATGCAATGGGGATTAAAGATTTTGAAAGGTAATATCCTGCTCTGAGCCTTTCAGCCAATACAACCATGACACTGATTTCCTTTTCTTGGCCGCGTACCTCCTGCTGTTTGTGAAACATGTGTGTTTTGGGAAATAAGTCTGAAAAGGAGACAGATTTTTCTTTCATGTGACTGATGATCATATGAATTCTTGTAACTAAATATTAAGTGGATTAAATATAGAAACTAAGACTTACAATATTCCTCCAGAGAGTAAAAACTGCCTTTATTCTGTTCCCAGTATACGCTGAAAGTGCTTTACACCTCATTTTAACAGCATACTTGAGGTTCAGACAAATTCAGGCGGAGTGTGTCTTTCCTCTCAAAGGCTTTTAGCTCCCTCTAGAGCCCTTTAGAGGCACACGAAGATTTTAATAAAATGATGGGAAAATTAATTGGCAAATGATTAAGTAATGTACTTCCTGGGAACAAGCTGAAAATGAATCGAAATTGAGTGACCTCCTGTCTTCTCTTCTCCCCTCTCTCACAATATTTTTTTTTTCCCCTCAAACCTGGAATAAGCATAATTTTTTTGATCTTTTAGAAACTGAGATCAATTAAGGCAAGATCTTAAATCCAAGCCTTTGGTGAAGACAACACCTGATTACAAGCCAATCCTCAAATGTTGTACAGTGCTCAGAGTCAGCCCTGAGGCTGACACAGATGTCACGAGACATCCCCAACACGGCACAGTCTTCCCCCAGGTGGGACATCCTGGGTGGCTGCTCCAGAGAGGCCTTGCTGGCATGCCACATCCCCTGCATCTTGGGGGTGTGGTGAATCCCAGGAAACACAGCCCCCATCATGACCCATCTGCCTGTCTGTCTGCCACAGCTGCCTCTCAGGGGACAGCCCGTCACAAGGGATGTTTTTCTGAAGTCCAGCTTGCTGGAAGCATCCCCCCAGGACTGTGAAATAGCCCTGTGCATCCTCCACTGACATACCCCAGATGTGTGGCACCAGAGACCTCCAAGGGACACGTGAGTACAGGTCCCTGAAAGCATCTGACCTGGATGCGAGCCCTCTGCCAGGAAGGAGAGATGCAGCTTGTCTCCTTTTTTGAGACAGAAAAATTCATCTCACAGTAGGTACTCACAAATAATCTTGAACCTTGTCTGTGTGCTCAACCCAAGCGAGCCGAGATGCCTCTGCTTGAGCGCTGGTCACATAACACACACAGGATTCCTACTTGTTTCAGGAGCAGAGCCTGAACTTCTCTGAGGGCAGCTGGGACTCTGAGCAGCAGCAGCAATCCCCCTTGTTGCAGAGGGCAGCTGAAGGGAGGGTTAAAGAGCAGCTGTCACCACCATTCCCCAAAACTTGCTGTCTCCATGCCCAGAAACTGTGCCACTTGGTCACATGCACAAATCCTTCCTTTCCACTGCTGCACATTCATGTCTTATACTTAAGGCTGTCAACACCCCAATCTAACAGAAATGACTGTGTTTCTGATGAAGTTTTGGGAGGGCTTGGGACGTCGGGAAGCTTGTCCAGCTCCCATTCTGGTACGATCAATCCTGGCAGGTACCTGTGAGCCCTTAGTGGCGACTGGGCAAGCACAGGGTGCACTTGCAGAGGGGCTGTGCCAAGGCAGGTGGGCAACCCTGTCAGGAGCAGCAGAGGTGTGACCAGGGATGGCTGGCTTGTTCGGGTACCACGGCCCAGGAGGATTACTTGGACACAGCACCAGCTGTGAGGAGTGTCCGCACTGTGTATCGAAAGCAAAATGAGCACAGACCCAATTGCTATTGAAATCACTGCATTTTTGTGTGATTCCCACAGGCCCAAAGGCACAAGTCAGCCCAAACCAAGAGAAACTGACAGAGCATAAGAACTAGTAATGTTCATTTTCACAGCTCACCTCTTGGGATTGCTGTTAGTACTCTCTTCCTTTCAGTAACCCTGAAGCATCACCTTTTTTTTTTTTTTTCCAACCAAAGAGGTGATAGAGCACCTGTAGATAAGGTAAATGGGCACCTCCAGGAGCATTTCTAATATGCAGTACTCAAAATGTTACATCCAGCATTGGACCTAATCAAAAGCAATCCGTGCACACTGGGCTACAGACAGAATATGTGGCTCTGGGATAGGGGTGCATTTTGTTGGCTGGAGAATTAGTGCAGACACAACTTGCCAATGGGTGTAATAATATAGGTAACAGTCATGCAAAAAGGGAGCTTGATCTATTCAGGACAAGAAAATGGAAAACAAATATTTGGTGCATTTTTGGCACTATTTTCCCAGTTAGTGATGCAAAAATTGCAAAACTTTTAAAGGAAAGAAGGAGAAGCAGACATTTAGAAATACTTGGTGCATTTTAGATCTCCATTTTCCCAGTTAGTGATGAAAAAAATACAAAACTTTTAAAGGAAAGAAGGAGAAGCAGACATTTAAGAGACAGGAAAACAGGATACAGTATAAACAGAAGATACAATTGCTTCTCAGGCTTTACTCACTCATTTGGAGTTTTCTTCTCCAATTCTGATACTTATTTAATGCCGTGGAGTGAAAGCTGTTGGCTCTCTGTAGTGCTGAAGAGAAGCAGACGAGACACGTGGTCAGCTAATGTAGCAAAACCCAGAGAGCAAAAAGAGAGAGGGGGAAAAAAGGGGGAAAAAAACAACCCCAACGAAGCAGTGTGTGTGTGGGGGTTAGTTCTGTAACCAGCTCCCCCCGGTCCCTCTCCCCCGGCGCGGCCGGGAGGGGGCAGCGCGCACCCGCCGCCGGCCCCAGCTGCGGGATGTTGGGGAGAGGAGAAGAGCCCAGGCCACCCCTTCCCTCCTGTCCCCAAACCCACCCCGGACCAGCAGAAAGGCAGGCAGGCAGACAGACAGACGGGCCAGGGGACAGGCTGACGGGGTAAAAACTGGGAGGTGCTGTAACGCAGCTGGGTGAGGTTGCAGAGATGCTCATGAAGATGTAGATACCTGGCTGGCATGGTGGGGAGGAAGGTGATGGTGGGGAGGAAGGTGACCTTAGCAGCCAGAGGTGGGGGAGAGCATGGGGTCACACAGTGCTAGGCACGCTTTGGGGGCTACCACTGGCCTTTTTTTTCCCCTAAACAAGGGCTTGGTTATTCAAGAATGAATTTGAATTCTTGTATGAAATCCCCTCTTTTCTGTTTGGATTAAAAATGCATATATGGATGTGGGGGTGGTTGGAGATGTGAAGAAATGAATGCTGATGGCCTTTTATTTTCTGCAAATGGCTGGTTTTTAGCGTATTTTTTAGGTCTGACCTTCTCCAGCTCCAAAAAGGAGTTTTCCTTTGGAATCAAACTGTTCCTAAACCTATCCCCACCTCCCTGCTAGCTATATCCTTTTTTCCATGTGCTTTCACTGGATGAAAAAAAATTTAAGCAGCTACTGATACAAATCCAAATTGAATGAAGTGGAGCTCTCTAGTGCTTCCCAATGTCACCCTTGCTTAGACAATACTACAGATATTGAATTGACTACTAATAACATCCAAACTTTTTACCAGTGGGAAAACAGGTTACCCTGCATCACAGAAATGCTGTTTCAGCAACATCACCCAAAAAAGACAGAAATCTCTCAAAGATACCATCAACAGGTACAACCTCATCACGCTGCAGGCAACACTCTCTGCTTTGAAACCTCTCCCCCAAGCCCTGACTTCAGCCCTCAGGAGAGGCTGCTGGAGCACCCCTGGATCAGGATGCTGCTTACCATCAGCAACTTTGGATGTTCTAGGGCTTTCCTCTGGTGCCACAGGGCTCCAGGTGAGCGATGCCCTTCTCTGGACAGGGCTCGGGCAGGTGGGGCGCTCCAGCAGTGAGGTCCATCCTTCACTCACTTCAGAATGTGATGAGTCCCCATTACAATCAGACTCCAGGTCAGAGCTACAGGGAAAAAGGGAGAGATGGAAAGAAAGTGGGACATTTCAGAAGATGCATAGCATGGAACTGCTGTTCCCTTTCAGCGCAACAAGTACCAGCATCAGCACTGACAGCAATGCAGGTCACAGAAACACATGTTTTGCAGCCAGAGATGACGTCCTCATTCTGATTGTTGTCATTATTACAGGACTGTAATTTTCTGTAGGTGCTACACAGCTGAGATATTCCTATTCCTATCAGACTTCTGCTGCCCGGATTCACAGTCAGTATGTTCAGCACCTGGAGTCAAACTGCCACCAAGAGAAACGTGGGGTGAAACACCACACCAGTTAGCAGGGGTTAGCAGGGACAAGCCCTTCTGCCTGCAAGGCTGTAAACCAAGATGAAGAAAGGAAACCAAGATTTGGAATGCCATAATTGGCCTAGAAGCAAGGCACAAGGGTCAATACTCTACACCTTCACCAGCAGAAGACAAAGCCAAGGAGGGTGAGGAAACACCTTTAGCAGTTTGGGGAAACCCATGCTGGAAATCACGCAGCATCAGTTGTTTCAGCCCCAAGGTGACAGGTGACACTGCACTGGCACCAGGCTGAAATCACCTGTTTTGGTGTTTTTTTTCAAGCATGACAAAACAACACCTTTCAAAATAAAAGCTTTGCAGGTATGTCTGAAAGCTGGGAAACTATTTAATTCAGTATGCAGAAGGACAGACATCTCAGATGAGAAGTCTGTAGAACTGGGGCATTTTGTTATTTGTTATTGCAACAACATCATTTCTGATGGTGCACCAGGCACCTCGCAGAGCCACAGGCAGGGTTTTGGACCACAAGAGGCTGTGCTTGGTCCTGACCCCACTTCTGGGTGCTACAATTCAGAGGAGGAAAGAGCCTGGAGGAGAGGGTTGAGGACGGCCACCAGCCTGGTAGGGCTTAGGCAAGAATTTGGAGAAAATTGTAAGCATTAGTCAAAAGAGGAGAAGACTAAATGAAGCCACGTGAGCAACCTTCAAACGTGCAAAAGGCATCTTTAGGAAATAAGGAAACAAACCCTCCTTGTCCCTAGGAGCCATGGGAACAGCCCATGGAGCAGTGAGTGCAATGAGGCACTCGAGCCAATCACATAGGCAGATTTTGTCATCCCCTTCCTTAAATGTAATTAAAAATATGGCACACAAACACATGTGAACAGCACACAATTCGTGACCTTGCCCCTGGGCAGGAGAACAACCGTTTGAGGTGATTATTAGTCCTTTCTTCAATAATAATGGGATTTCTTTCATCTCTGAAGGCCAGACTGTAAGGAACAGGCACTTTCAGGCCCTTCTGATGTGACCACATTCCCATCACCATAAATAAGCATGCCACCATCCCACTCGGCCCATTTTTAGTGCAAACAATACTGCTAAGCTAATTCAGAGATTTATTGTGATGATTAATAGCTCTACCTTAGAAAAAAAGAGGTGCTTAACTCTGTGAGTAGTCCTGTTTGCACACCAGGAGAAAACTGCTTCGTGTTTGCACAGCACTGCCCTGCAGAAAGCAAAGATTTATTGTAACAGCCCAAGACACAGCCCAGGAGCCAGGAGGAAGAAGAGTGGAAAGGAGAGGCTGCAGATGGTATAAAGCCAGGGTAAATGCCATGAAGGTAGTGCCCGCCAGTCCTGCACCCCCGCTTCACCCAGATCAAACCAGCAGTGGGGCTGGCAAGGCAGCAAGGACGGGAACACAGCTCCAGGTGCTTTGCTCCCTGTTGGTTGGATCAGTGGCCTCAAATTTCACTACCAACACATACTTTTTAGGTGCCTTTCAAGCTGCTTCAAACCTACAGATATGTATAAAAATATATAAATGTATGTAGCCTTTGATAGTTGAGATCCTGTGTGGATGGAGAGATACCACACTGAGATCGGGCAGAGTGCCACATGAAAGAAAAAGACCTGCCATTAACATTGATTGACATCTTTCTGTTTTAAAGAGCAAAATGTTTATTTTCCTTGGCTGGCAAAGAGGTAAGTGCTATGGTACGAGGCTTCTCTTCTGATCTCTGCTAGATAGGTGGTCATTATCCACAAGCACCTACAGCCTGAACTGCAAAGCTATGTCACCAAGCTGGTTGTCTTCCCCGTCCCACCGAGTGCCCAGCAGCCAGCTCAGCAGTGCTATTTGTCACTTGCTATTTCTCTCGTCCCCCATTTTTAGGCAAGAGGGAGGTGACAGGCGCCCGAGCTGCTGCAGCAGCAGGAGTCTGACCTCAGAGCTGCTGGCACCTGCTGTGCTGGTGACAGATGTGACGTCACTTCTCACACCACGTCCTGCTGGCGGGGAACCAGGGTCCTTGCCGTCCAGCCACGGGGGCTGCCGCGGGGAAGGGAGCTGATCCCTCTGATCAGGGGGATTAGCCAGCTCTCATCCCTGCTGCACGCCACGGGGGCACCACGAGCCGCAGGGTATTAGCGAGGGATACAAGAACATGCTCCGCAGCAGGGGCCTGTCAAACAGGTAGGAAACTCTTCCCTGAGCTCTCAACCCCCTGTGGGAGAGGAGCCATGCCAGACAGAGCACAAATGCCATTTAAAACCCCTGCAGGGAACAGCAGAAAGTTGCATTTCTAAGTGTCGCTCTCTACAAGCTATACACAAGGCATCAAGAGCATGAATGACCTTCCTCACAGAGCAACAGCTCCATGTATGTTGCAACAGCTGGGTTTGGGTTTGCTCCCCTCCCTGCTTCCTCCCACCCACCCCCCCCCAGCTTCTTTTTTAGTTCTCGGTGAAGAAAACTGCTTTAGTCTGGAGATAGCAATCTATTCTTTATACGGAACGAACACCCACAGAATCCTGCCCAGAAAGCCAATAAATTCTAATTTGTACACAGAAATCAGGCTTCCTCCCCAAGGATCAGATTTCATTACAGAGCAACAGCTCCATGTTTGTTGCAACAGCTGGATTTGGGTTTGCTCCCCTCCCTGCTTCCACACACCCACCCCCCCCCCCCCCCCTTTTTTTTTTTTTCCCCCCCCCAGCTTCTTTTTTAGTTCTCGGTGAAGAAAACTGCTTTAGTCTGGAGATAGCAATCTATTCTTTATACGGAATGAACACCCACAGAATCCTGGCCCAGAAAGCCAATAAATTCTAATTTGTACACAGAAATCAGGCTTCCTCCCCAAGGATCAGATTTCTTAGGGGTGGGCAGGCCCACAAACACCCTGGGAGAGGCCCGGGGTGTGGAGTTGCAGGATGATGTCCAGTGTGGGAGAGGACCCCGTCACAGGATGCACCTTTTGCCACAACACCCCGACTGCCCTAATGCCTGAACGGACATTTACTGCTACGCAAAGAGCTGGACCCGACCTGATCAGGGCAGTGTTTTTCTCTCTGATTCAGGCCTCTGTGTGGGATGTGAATGTTTGAAGATTTCCTGCAAAGTGAGTCATGTGTCTGGGGGATTTATGGCTGCGGTAAAGAACAATTGTTATTCCGAGTGTGGGTTTTTTTTTTTTCTTTTCTCTTTTTTCCCCCCAATTACACGTACATTCAGTACTCTATTTGTTACATCTTTCCTTTGTGTTCCAGAGAAAACCAAGCTGTTCTTATGGGGTTTTTATTGGCTTACTTATATTTTAAAGTACCTGCTTGCATCACTGGTGACCATGACTCGGACTGCGAGGAGGTTGTGCTCGGTCATCTCTTCCTCAGGAATGACCCTCACGGTGGCCCACTCGGGGGAAGGGGGTGAGAACCAGCTCTCCAAGTCACGTTGGTCGGGGATGCTCTTCGCCTTCTTCGGGGAGGTAGGCTCATTGGCCACGGGCAAGCAGTGGTCTGGGAAAGCACAAAGGTGACAGCGGGGCGTCAGGGGAGGAGGGAGGGAGTCTGCAGGGGGGATTCTTGCCCCCTCATTCAGATGGTCCTTGGCCACCACCAGCACTTTCCACTCATGGCACAGGCGAGGTGCATGCACCAGCAGTCTGGCACAGCAAGAACATCCCTTTAACACAGTACAGCACTGCCAGGGTTCATCAGCTTGGATGCAAGGAAAAGGAAACTCCAGAGGCAGCCTCAGCTTTTTCAGCCACAAGTCCTCACTCAGCTTGGTGGGACAGCCATCAGGCTGGGCTCCTGGTGGCAGCAGTAATGAAGACACATGCCAGCCACACAAGTAGGGATTTATGGTCTCTTCTCAGGCTCCAGGTGTATGTGTGCGTGTGGTGGGAGGCAGATGGATCAACCTGGCTTAGGTGGCTAGAACTTCAGCATTTTATTGTAACTTTAGGTCAATTTAGGACAGCGCAAGTGAGCAAAATAAACACAGGCTCTTCAGAAAAATATTTTTGAGTGTGTACAGCAAATACTGATTTGGGAGAAGCGGCATCACAGTGGTTAAATAGCACCACCCCTGAACTTTGAATTCAGACAGGAGGAATAAAGAATAAAGCCAAATTTCCCTCGGTCACCCCAGGCAATGCAGACAGACCCAAAGACAGGAGACCATCTTTCCCTGTAAAATCTTTGATTTCTGAGCAACCTCATTTATCCACAGCCTCCTGCACAAGCAAATACAAACATATCAGCCACACAAATTCCCCCCGGGCTCAGTGCAGAAGGGACAAATGACCAAGCTCCAGGGGTCTGGCTTTGCTTGGTTCACCTCTCATGTGGGGTGCTTTTGCCGCATTTAATTCAACACTGTTGCTTCTAATTTACACCTAAGTGGAAAAAAAAAAAATCAGACCTGGGACATGGCTTGTTTTCTCATCTATTAGAGCAATCTATCTAGTAAACATCAATTAAACTCCACTTTAACTTCAGCTCCTCCATATATTGCAGGAACACACTCAGCCCTGTCCTTCATTTTGCAAGGGTTTTTAACTCAAACACCCAGCACTTGAACATGGAAAACAAACCAGCTGGGAGCAAGAGTGCTATGAGCAGATCCTTGTCCCAGAAGCATCAGGGGGATTATGGAGCCCAACTGCTGTCCCACGAGACCCTCCAGAGCTAAAATTCCCCACCAGTCACATATGGATATTCACCAGGGAGGCTGTGGCATCATGGGTGCACATCCCACACCACACCAAGCCCTAACCCCATCTTGGATCCCTTGGTCTGTCCATTGCTGTCCACTCCCTCTGGTGTCATCTCTGTGGAGCCATGAAACAAGGTCCTCAACACAAGCTGTGACAGCAGAGCTACACCTTTATCCTGCATGATTCAGGTAGCTCCCAGTCTAGCCCAGAAAAACTGGGCTTCTGAGCTTCTGCACCTCTCCCAGTCATTGTCTTGCTCACCCCCTTCTACGTTTGCAAACAGCCACCAGTGAGGAAAGCCCAGCTGCTGGTGACAGGGATGACTGTTCAGCAGGTACAACTCTTGTGCTGGCCAGGTGAAGCTCCCTTACTTGCGCTCACAGACTAACATGGCTTTGCTGTCATTTTTTTAGTGGTTTTACCTATTATGCTTCTCCCAAGAGGCACAACATTGCACTTTTCAAAAGGCTATAGTGAGCATCACAAAAGTCAATGTATTTTCTTGCCTTGAAAACTCCTCAAGACTTCACTGCTAACAAAGAGTTGTTTTGTGGTTCTGGTTTTTGTTTTGTTTTGTTCTTTTTAAATCATTCTAATTCTATGTACAAGAGGCCAAGAAAGAAGGAGGAGCAGCTCCCTGCTTCTTCAGAGCAAGATGCTCCCATGTGAAAACATGTGCTCAGGCTCTATGTCTAGCTCACTAGCACACAGTGTTTCTGGACCAATAGAGATTTCATTTCCTTTGGGAGATGGAGGAGCTTCATCCCTCTCTGATTTTTACTGTTGGCTTCTACTTTGGCCCAGCCAGGCCACCCACCCGAAAGCTGCTCCCAGGCAGTGCACAGTAAGCCTGGAGGCGTTTAGGTGGCCGTGTGGGAGTCCATGGGTCACAGCAGGGCACGGCTGCCCTTCCTCACATGGGGCATAAAACCCTCCTGGGAATGGCCCCCGCTCCTCCAGAGCTGGGCTGGACCACGACATGCCGTTTGTACTCTCCAGAAGCAAAACAGAAATCAATATTGTAAGCCAGCTTGAAAAAATAACTCCTCCAACTCAACTTTCTCCTTAAAAGATGCTGCATTTTATATGAAAATCAGAGCAAGCAAAACCCCACCAAATCTTGCCAGCTCAGTGTATAAACTTTGTACCCGTGCTGGGAATAAGCACTGCACGTGGCTGCTAAAGAAAAATCAGTTTTGCCATTTGCTTGCATGCTCAGTACGTATTCCCTCCCCACCCCACACATTAATGCTTTCCGCGCCACGCTAACAGGAAAGAAGAGAAAACATGTTTATGAGTAACAGACACACACAGCTGGAGAGCATCAAAACCCACAGACAGACAGACTACCTAAAACGATTCCCAGTATGGGTCCTGAACGCAAACAGATTTCAAGTCAACAAGTCCCTCTGCAATAGCCCATTACACATCCATCTTTAAAATCATTATAGAATAATAAGTCAGAGCTGGTGAAGGACCTCGGGATGTCATCCAGGCCACCGGATGTCACCTCTCTCTGAAGAGTTATACTTCCATGCTTGCTTTTTTTTCTTTAATCATAGTATCTCCCCTTCTTGAATTCTGCACCCCTAAGTTGGGCCTCAGGAATCTGTTAGACAGCTGAAGCCCTTCTAAGCAAGGTAAGTTTGCATTCATTCATAGGGATACTAATCACGTTTGAGGTCAGCCTCCTGCATTAACATCCACCCCATCTAGTGAAAGCTGTTGGACTAGATGATCTTTAAACATCCTTTCCAATGTGTTGGACTAGATGATCTTTAAACGTCCTTTCCAATGCAAACCATTTTATGATTCTATGATTGGAAAGCAAAAACCACTCCTTACTAATGTGCAAACCACTCTATGATTCTACAATTGGAAAGCAAAAACCACTCCTTACTAATGTATTTAATCAATATTTTTCCCGTGACATATAAGGTTGAATAAACTACACTGCACTCAACTCCATAAAAGCAGGAAGAAACTGGACCACCTCGGTGTGTCAGTGCATGGGACACTCACACGCACGCATGAACTCAACCACCACATTACAAATTCTGCAGGACGTTTGAAAAGAGTAAAGTTCCTACTGCTGTTTCTCACCACAGGGCTGCACCTTGGTAACAGGCTCGCACAAAAGGCAAAGATGTCCCAGATGCCCCAAGTGTCAGGGAGTTTTTTGTAGGCTCTAATGACAGTACGTGACTTGACTGGTCTCTCCTAAAAATCAGCCCTTGCTGCGCCACCAGATTGTAACCCTGACCCCATGTGCAGATGTCACCAAGGAAGAGCATGGGCAATTCAAACAGAAGCCTGGGGGCTGCCTGGCAATTGCCATCTGCCCCTCCACAGCAATGCAAACAAACCCATTCGGCCATCAGCTGCAAGACCCCACCACTGGTTGTCACTGCCCTTAATTTTGAAGAGGTATTAAAAATATGAAAATGATCTGATATAAACAAGGAATTTAAAAAGAAATCCAGAATGTCTTTAAAGCTCTTATTTTACACACACACACAAAAAAAAGATAAAAGGGCTATCTGAACCAATTTCTCCTGAAGCAGCCCAAAGGATGAGTGCTTACACAAAGCGTGGCATACATTTATGCTCCTGAACAGATGCAAGGCTAAATAACAAGCAGCCTTCATACCTCTCCATTCCAGCTGGGAGCCTTGCAGCTCTCCCTGCATCCCGGACAGCCACCCATCCTCGCAGCACTGGCAGCCCAGTCCTCAGTGAGCCATCGGCACAGCGAGGCTGAGCAGGAGGATACTGATATTTTGGAAGTCTGACTCCAGGGTACAAACCATGCTCTAAGCCTCAGTGCCCTTATTCCCGTCACACTGCCAGTTGAGAGTTAAGCACCTGGGACTGGCACTTCTGGTGACCATTGTGATTACCTCTGGTCAGGCACCAAGCAGGCTGACACACTGGCCTGCATGGAAGAGACTGAGCTCTGCTCAGGCAGGGGACAAGCTCCAGATGTTCAGCACTTCTGGGTGCATGCAGCAGCCCCCCTGCCATTCCTGCTCTCTGTGGAAACTCAAGGACTGAGGTGGACATTCAGCTCCTAAATCTAAGGTGACAATTCCCACATAATAAGCTCCAAGATACATTATTTAGCTTGTGCTTGAGTCCTTCCATAAATCTGTGCCTGGCTGTACTTACCACATTACCCCACTTCTTCATCAGAAGACATAAAAATGGCGTTATAGTTAATTCCTAAAGGGGAAGGGGCACGCGGGTGTCCCAAGCCACTCATCTGGGATTAGAATCATAGAATCTGGGATTACCCGGGCAGCCTGTGACACTGCAGGCATCTCCGTGGCCAGCTGGTTCTCCTGCTCCGCATCAGGTTTCCTCCCCAGGACAGGAGTTTTTCTACTTGAAGCTACCAGACTGAGTCAGAGGAATTGAACTTTGTAAGATAAACACATGCAATGTAAAAGCTAAAGAGGCATCCGGTCTGCGGGACAGCAAAGGGCACAGCCCCGTTTCCTGCCGATACACGCTGGTGCTGTGCCACTGACCTCTGCAGGGCAGCACGAGACGTTATCAGAGGAGAACCCAGTCCTCGGGAAACAGTCCCTCAAAATAGCATTTGCGTAAGATCTTACTTCATTTCCATCACGCTCACTTCAGATTTCCTACTGCCTATGTCTCAGCGTGCTAAAGAGCTCCAGCAGGGAGTACGCCTGCTCCGCAGCAGTTTGGGCTGGAGTCCCTATTAATCCTTTGCCAAAATGTTCAAATAATTTATCCAGGGGGGGAAGGCCCAGACAAGCCGTGCAGTGGGAAGGCGTTAATCTTAGGTCAGAGTCAGCAGAGCAGATCTGTCATGCGAGCAGGGCTGCAGGGACAGGCAGCACACACCACGAGTATCTCGCAGCACGCTGCAGGCCAGTTAAAGTGGAAATGTCCTAACAACAACTGACTTTGAATTTTTTAAGGTGTTGAAGTTCCCTAAGCTAGTCTGTATGAGCGAGCCAAGGAGCTAACGTGCTAATTTCCAAATCCTCCACGTCCTTTGGTGCTTTCCTGTGCTGGGGTGAGGCAGGGCAGCCCTCCCGGCTCTGCTCAGACACGAGCAGCCGGTCCTCCACTGTTTATGCTGTCTGTTTTATAGACTTCGCTTACACAACTCTAACTGGCTGTCTGAAGGTCTGGTGGGGTTAAGAGAATTTAAGTTTTCCACTCCTTAAGTTGTCATCCACATACAATGATCCTTCCTCATCCGTCACGCTGCCCCAGTGCTTTGTTTTGGCCCCACCATTGCCTTTTTCATTATTCTGCCAATTCTCCTCTCCCCTGCCAAGCACACTGTGCTTTTCCTAATTTATCCCTTACCTCCTGTTTGCCTTTTCCCAGCTGCCTTTCTCAGGGTGATGCCCCAATAGGCTCCTGTGTGCTCCTTTCCCTCCTCTTCCAACTCCCATCCAGTTACAGGCTGGCTCTGCTATTGATCTGGGTCATTTCTGGGGCTGGGGACACCTTTCTGGCTCAACAGCAGGTAGACCTGACCTAAGGCAAGAGCTTGGGGGTGCTCTGCTCGACAAAGCAACAAGAACAACTCTGAGGTACCACAAAACCAACCTCATGCTTTCTGCTCCTGAACTGTGTGTCAAAAACGTAGGTCCCTAATCCACACACAAACTGCAGTCTGTCTCTTCAGTGCAGTGTCTCTCCTCAGCCTGAGCTCTCCTGGTCAAAGTTCTTGATTGACTTGCACTGACATCAAATAACTTGGCTTTAGGATTTTTTGGTTTCAGTTTTTTTTTTTTTTTTTTTTTTTCTGCAAACATTGGAGTCTTCAGTTATTTAAACAGCAGCAATACAGTCAGTGATTTCAACAGAACAATCCTGTATTCATCTGAGCCTCCCACTCAAAAATGATGAAAAATTTGGGTAAACAATTTCTCCTTTGTCTGTAATTCAAAACCCACCTCATCCTCCTCACGCAGGGAGAGAAACAACTGTTTTCCTTACAGGGGAAGGATTTAGCTAAACCACATGGTAACTGAGAAGCATTCCTAAAGCTTCATCTGCAGGGCTTGTGTCTGGGTCAGTGCTCACCCAGAAGGTCAGGGCTGTTCAAAACCCACTACAACGTACAGGCTTGACCAAACAGCCCTTGCAGACCCCACAGACAGATGCAAACCTCTTTCCAGTAAAACACACTTATTCTCCATTAAATGTCATGCCCAGTTTTCCCAATTCACCTAGAGCGCCAGCTCACCCTTGCATTTGAGACAACGATTTTTGTGGTTAAGTCTCAAATGAATCAGAGAGGCAGCTGGTGAGGAACAAAGACATTGAAAGATCTCTGCAAAGCTGGGAGGATTCACAAAAGTTGGAGGTGGACCTTATTGCAGACACGCAGAAATGATCAAGGATTGCAAATACTCAATTTTTCCCCACAGCACCAATAATTAAAACACCACAGTCATTTACTCATGAAAGGTAAATTAGCAAGACCGTTTGGAAGACTATCTTCAGCCAGTTCATGGCTTCTGGATGCACTTGGGAATTTTGCCCGTCATGGCTGAGCAGACTGGAACTCTCAGGGAAGTTTGTACTGAGGAACAGAGAAGGCAGCAAAGCCACCCAAGCCTTCTGTCAGACCCAGCAGAGACCACGGCTGAGCAGACTGGAACTCTCAGGGAAGTTTGTACTGAGGAACAGAGAAGGCAGCAAAGCCACCCAAGCCTTCGGGACAGCTCAGCAAGGCCCAGCATGAGACTGCCAGCCTGCACCAGTGCCTCAGCCCTTCAAAATCCTTCACCTCGCTTTAGGGAGGACGGGCTGTGTGAAGATGCTCCCATCTCAGTATGGCTGTCAAGCAAGAGCTGGGTAAGGCTGGTACCTCAGCAGGGGCCTGTTTTGAGCTGATTATCAAATATAAGAAAAAAACCCTGTAGTTTGTTTACGGCTCAGCAAAGTAGCAGCCTCTAATTAGAAACACAATGATGGTTTGTGGAGCTCCCTGTACATACAAGTCCAGCAGCAGCCCTCCTGTAGCTTTTAAGAGATCTTTCCCTTAATCTCTCTGGAGACACTGTCCCTGGCTGAGCCCTGTGCAGAGCACACAGGTTCAAGGCACATTCACACTAGTAAAAAGCATGCAAATTCAGTATGGTTCTTTTGCTCACTGAAAGAGCATTGCAACTGTGATTCTCTCAATGACAGGCTTGTAAAATTCACATGCTTACAGAGTAACATCCAGTGATGATCCAGCATAACCTAAAATGCATTTTTGCCACCTCTTTTCTTTTTTTTTTTTTTTTTTTTTTTTTTTTAAATAACTTTTTGTACCAGCATCCTCAGCAGTCTGGATGCATTTCAGCATCTAACAACGCCTTCAAGCAGCACCACTCCCCTGCAAAGGCTCTGTGGCCAGAGGGAAAGGCCAAGGAGGGACATGGCATTGTGGCCATGTGTGCAGAGCTGAGACCCAGCTCCGCAGCGGGGACAGCCCTGCGAGTCGTCCCAAAGCCCATAAAAAATGATGGGGAAACCTCTCAGTATGCAGGATCAGGAACTTCAGGATCCCAAGTGCTTTTGTGAATAATTTGGTTCACCTTCCTCCCTCAGGTATGAGGGCAAAGCTGACATCCAAGCACAGTAGTGGAGAGGCCCTTCTTGTCTGTAATATGCTGCGTATTACAGACATGAGCTACGTGAACATCCTTAAAGCCCTGAAAGCTTGCAATTAGCCTTGTTAGTCATTTTCTCCTGGAGTGGTGTTAAGGCAGTTCCTACCCATGGAAATACAAGGGCAGGTTTCCCCACAGCTACCAGGGGAACACCTGTGCTGGTGTTGCTCAAGCTAGACAGGAGCAGCACAGCCACATGGGCCCATCAGCCTCGAGCTGGAAGAGAGCAAACCTCTCCCAACGTCACAGGGTGTCACTGCTGGTCCCCACAGGGGCCAAGGGAGCTTTTACATGGGGCACTGAGCTGCACAGACCCAAATCCGGGACTGACATTGTCTCACAGTCTCAGCACCGCCAGGCCATGCCAGCTCTACTAGGCCGCTCTGCCAAAAAGCTCAAATCTCAAAGCTGTTTACTGCCCCTCCGTGACTAACAAACTGCTAAACGCAGTCTAACAGCAGGCAAGCTCCTTCTGCTACCGCCAAACAGATAAATGCATCATTGCATCCCTCCCTCCTGGTCCCAGAGGCTTTGCTAACACACCAGCCCCGTTTAATGAGGGAAAGGTTCCGAGTTTCGCGCTGGTGCCCCACGCACACCGTGCCAATTCAGCGCTGCACAGAGAAGCTCTGAAACCCATTTCTATGTTATACCACACTAGTGGAACAATTGCAATGGGCTTTGCTTAACTGATGAAAATATTCCACTCCTGTGACTGTCCCTGGTGCGGGTGCCCTTTAGAAACCTGCTCAGAGCCACGGGGTAGGTGCCCAGGAGCATCGTGCCACCGCATACGCAGCAAAGGAGAGGCCCTTTCCAAAGGGGCTTATCATCTACCCACCCGGGGCTTCACAGATGGCTCTCGGCACCTTCTACCATTACCATTAATAAGGCGTTGATCACTCCCGCATCTAAGTGTCCCCACTGATAAAGCCAGGGCCAAGGAACAGACGCAAGCAGGAGATGTTATTCATACTGGCGAGTCCCACTTGACAAGGCAGCCTGACTTTCTGTCCGGGCTGCTGCTCCTGCATCATCTGCCAAACCGGTGTCAGGCAAATCACATTACTGTGACCTGACAAGGAGATGACAAGGGCTCGGGAACCAGCCAAATTTGGGCAGAGCCAAGTCCCCGTTGGGGGCAGCTGAGCCGGAGAGGCCATTTCCCCCCTACCTCAGGCAAAGCACATGCTGCCCACAATGGCACAAAGCCTGAAGCCCGCCAAAGAACACCCTCCCTCCCCACCAGCAGCGCTGGGCCAAGTGCCTCAGACACCAGCTGGCTCAGGGCAGCTGTGTTTTATCAGCTTTGCTGGGGAACGGCTGCTCTGAGGGTGCCTCTGCCCGTCTTGGACAAAAATGGTCAAAGATGCTCCACTGAAGAATCCCCAACCAAGGCAGCTGCAGCAGCCATGCCATAAGCAGCCAGAAGTGTTCACATGTATCCTCCCTCCTCCTCTTTAGCCAGTTTTGAGTCATGAGAGGGGAATTCATTTTTAAGCAACTTACAGCAAGAGCTCCCGTGGTATATCCCAGCTAAGGCAAGTCAGACCAAATGGGAGCCCCACACAAGCAGAAAGAGGGAGCGGGCCTTGCCCAACCAACAAAAATATGAAAACAAACACAGGCCCAGAGAATATCCTTGAAGGCAGATGAAACACAGAAACAAAGCCAGGAAAGAACAGATTTTAAAATTATATCAACCT